AAGGGTTTTCTATATTCCCTCTAGAAAAATCTGATTCGACGGTAACCGCCCCCCCCCTATAATGCGAAAGCTCCTATATCACGACCAAAACAATGAAATCTAGGAAATTTTCTTTTTCTTATTTTCCCATTGTATTGTATTTTCAATATTTGTCTCTATTTTCTACCGTATTATTTTTAGTAATTCCATATACTGTATCAACTCCCGGGCCTCCCTGTCGCGGCCACCCAAAAGTTTTGTGAAGACTGGAGGGCACTAATATGGGCGGATATTTTTACGAGAAACAGGTAAAATTAATGGAAAATTGGAAAATTGATGTTTCAACAAGCAGAAATTGTCAATTGAATTTGTGAAACACAATTTTCGAAATTTTTAGTTGATTTTGAATTACAAAAACGTCATTACAAGACCTCGAATTTCCCAGGGAAGAAAATGTTTCAATGAAATTGCTAGTCGAATCGGTTTTTAAGGGCCTAATTTTCTTTCACTTTAAAACAGAAATCATGAATCTTCAAGGCAAAGCCGATCTACTGAATTTTGGAGTTTTCTTAATTTTGTTAAAAGAAAAACTGGGATTTCTCCGATTTTTGTGGAAACCAAAAAGGTTTTGCCAAATTCGGTTGATCATGACTTTATTTTTGGATTTTAATTCACCGTTGCTATCGTCCTGAAATGAAGTCAGTAGTATCAGTAGCAATACTTCAGATTATGTAGATGCGATTTTAGTAACCCAAAATTTTGAAAATACAAAAATCTTTTCAAAAAGAAATGGTACCCAAATACGTTTTTATTTAATTAGTTCGCTGTTGCATTATTTATCTAATTGAATTTTCATATTTTTAACCGAAAAAGTGGTGCTTTTTAACTTTTAAGTCATTAAAATAAACTTTTGCTGCTGTCTTAATATTTTTCGGAAAAAACATCGAATTAGCTTTTTAAAGCTTGCCAGGTTTAGTTAATAAAATGTTTCTGAGTAATGGTTTGTCAGATAGTGTCTCTTCCTGCTTTAATTACCTAGTATCGGAGGTTTATTATTATGGCCCTTGATTTGCGCTTATTTACAAAATACAAGGCGGTTTGACATCATAAACCGAAAATTTCTTTCGTTTTTAGGGAATTGGCAAACATAACTTTTCAATATTGTGTCATTTTTTTGCTGTATTTTCCTAATCCCGGAACTGGCCCTCTACCCCTCAAACAATTCATTAAGCCGTCATAGCCTCTGAAATACTTCCTCTCCCGAGGGCATCGACACTAATCTTTCCTCTCCCTCACCGGGGATTTTCCCGGATTTGGCGATTCTTCGTGTAGTCCGCCGAGATTCTGCCAATTTCCGGGCCGAAGCTTTCGTCTTTCTGTTTGTCTAAAGGTATTGCGTTTATTGATTCAGCGAGTTTGCAGTTTTTCCTGAAGAAGCCCTGCCAGCCTGCCCCGTCCATTCCTCAAAGAATCTCTGCTAGGCCTGCCCCGTCCATCTCAAGGAATCTCTGCTAGCCTGCCCTCTATTCCTCAAAGAACTTGCCAGCCTGCCCTCCATTCCTCAAAGAATCTCTGCTAGCCTGCTCCCATCCATTCCTCAAGGAATCTCTGCTAGCCTGCCCTCCATTCTCAGTGAATCTCTGCTAGCCTGCCCCTCCACCTCAAAGAATCTCTAGCCTGCCCCTCCATTCCTCAAAGAATCTCAGCCTCCCTGGTTTCGATTTGGCACTAGCGGTACATAAAATCTGTTTTAAGTTTATTAGGAAGCAATGAAAATGTTTGAAACATATTTTTGTAAAATTTGCTGATGTGTTTTTTCTTATTTTTCAAATATAAATAATATAAATTTTTTAAATCTACTCTCTAATAATAACCTCTGCTGTTGCCCTCTCTATTTTCAAAATAAACCCTCCTGATTTCCTGGTTTTGTGAGTCACGAGGGGGCCCGGGTGGGGTGAGTCACATTTTCTCTCCTCTCACTCTCTCCTGCTCTTCCTCAACTGGAACCATCCGCCACCCCACGCTTTGTTTCCACACACACACCTCGTTTTTGAGCCACGGGGAGAAGTTGCCCCCAGGAAATCGGCCAGCTGATTTTGAGGGGCCGAAAAAGAACGTAACAACATAATTATAAATACTGGCATATGCTTGGCTTAGGTTTCGCCAGGCTAAAAATATGTTTCCATCCCTCAAAACAAGAAAAATTGAAAGAAACTTATTGACTATTTCAAGATCGGAATCGAAGAGAAAATCGAAAACCATGTGCAAAATGCTGCAAATAAAATTGATTAGCAGCTGATAAAATAAAAGACTGCGGAAAGATAGGGAAACTATAATTAAAACCAATTTTCGCGCCGTTAATAAAAACGAATAAGAAATTCACCGTCTCTCCCAAAGGCACAGGCAGGTTAATCATTGTAATTCCCAGTAAAGAACGGGAAAGCCAATAATCTAGTCCTACCGTATTCTTGACGAGAATCTTGCAGGATCCGACGGCAGTGAATTTTCCAAAGCCGTAAAATGTTTATAAAACTGCCAACTCGGCTGGGATTTTTGTCTGAATGGGCGTCTTTGCAAGCGTCGTAATACACTAAAGCTGGAAATGGGCTTCCCAAAACCTAGCCTGCCTCCTCAGCCCGCTGAGTTTCCGGTCTCGCCGCCTATCCCACGTCTATCCCATGCCCCCGCCACCGTATCCCCAGGTTAGGAGGGGCAGTGTTCCCTGAGCAGTCTGAGGCTGAGAGCAGTTTCTGCGTCGTTTCCTCATCTCTCTTTCTCACTCTTCTCTTCCACTGCTCTCTCACCTTTGGGATTCCCATGCACGCCCGGGTCTTATTTTAGTGCTCTCTCACGGAGTCGTGCCTTCGTCTGCCTGGACCTCAGGAGAGGGACTCTCCACCTCTCTCCCTCTCTCTCTCTCTCTCTCTATCTCTCTCGTTTATCTCGCCTCCCCAAACCCAAAAGAGAGCCTTGTCTATTACCTCTCTCACCCTCTCTGCCCTCTCTCCCTCTCTCCCACTCTCTCGCCCCCCTGCGCTCCCGAAAAGGCCCACACCTCCCTCTCTCACTCTCGGTCTCTACCGCGCCCAATTAAAGGCACCGGGATTAGGGCAGGCCACCCCCAGACTTCAAAAATCGCAAAAACGGCACGCCGACGCCCCCGTAGTGTCGGACAGCACCCCAAGAAACGCACCCCGGGTGCCTTTGAAACGCACCCCAGGGGGTCTTTGAAACGCACCCGGGGTGCCTTTCAAACGCACCCCAGGGTCTGTTTGAAACGCACCCCGGGGGTGCGTTTGAAAGCACACCCCTCTCCGTCGGGGGTGCATTAATAGTGTCCCCGGGTGCCTTTGAACGCACCCCGGGGTGCGTTTGGGGGATGCGTTTGGGGGTGTGTTTTGGGGTGCGTTTCGCCCCACAGGTTGCAAAGAATTGCAAGGAAAGCCGATAAATAAAAGTATATTTGGCATAGGAATATCACAGAAAGCTTTATAAAACCTTATAAACCCTCCAAAATGCCATTCCTTCCGTATTTCATACTCTAGCTACTTCCTATTAATTGTTACCTCTTCCATTTTGGCAATCTCATAACTAATTTCCATACATTTTCCAAAAGTATGAGCAAAAACATCTTAAGCCCAATAAAAAATGAAAATCGTATCAGAATTCTTTTAAAACTCCAACACAGGCCATCAAATATATCTTACTGAAAGCCAGATGGCATCAGTTGTGTATAGAAAGCATCGTAAAACACATATGTAATATTCTTATGCCAAAGATACTTTTATTTATCGGCTTTCCTTGCAATTCTTTGCAACCTGTGGGGCGAAACGCACCCCAAAACACACCCCCAAACGCACCCCCCAAACGCACCCCGGGGTGCGTTCAAAGGCACCCGGGGACACTATTAATGCACCCCGACGGAGAGGGGTGCTTGCAAACGCACCCCGGGGTGCGTTTCAAACAGACCCTGGGGTGCGTTTGAAAGGCACCCCGGGTGCGTTTCAGTAAGATCTCCCCCTGCGTTTCAGCACCTGGGGGCAGTTTTGTCGGTGCTGTCCAGACCAGCCCCCGCCCCGACGACGACATGGTAATGAATTACATCGCGTAATGCAATGACTTTTCCTCGAGTTTTCATACCTGAAAAACCGGAAGTCCGGTTATTGATCGATTCCGGCAGGCTTCCCATGGCTACTGCTTTTATATGTATTTTTAAAACTTTTTCGAACTTTAGTTTCTTTTTCTTTAAAAATAGTTTTGTTTTAATTTTTGAAATATTAAAATAGGTCCAGTTTTCAAATTTTTTAAATTTTAAATTATGCAACACTTTTTCAAACTGGGTGATGGACACTATTAATTTTTAAGGTAATTTGTTCAGTTTTAAATGAAGTAGTGGAAGCGTTGCATTAGTTTCGGATTTGATAAAGGTGGAACGGAACTTTAGAAACATTGCTGCCGGCTCGTGCGAGCCTGGGATTTTCAAGGGTTATTAGTTTACTTCGCAAGTTTAATAATTTTTCTCCAGATTATTTAATTGTTTAAAAAACTAAAGACGAGTGTCGTGTGCACCTTTGCATTAATTTTGATTTCACCAGGGTGCAATGGAACTTTTGTGAAACATCACGTTTCCCCGGTTGTTCGATTCCCCGGATTTCTAGGAGTTGATTAGTTTACTAGAGTAGTAGTATTTCCCGGATCGTTTTTATTTTGTCTAGTAATTTTTTTCATGGCTTTTCTGGGCTTATATAATTGTTTAAATGCCTTTAAGATTGAATTTAGGTTTTTTTCATCCCCTTCGACAGAGCGTTCAGTAAAGTCGATGCTATAGAAGTATCCCGGTGATTTTATAAAACCATTATCGCTTCCGGGATATCGGACGCTTAACAACTTTTGTTAGAATTCTTATACTTTTACTGGGCTTATTTAATGTATTAATTATGGCAAGAAAGAGAAATGTTTAAATTTCAGTTGCAGTAAGCGAAATGATTACTGTGCATTAAGTAACATTCCGTGCAAGTGTAATGGAATTTTTGCGAACATTCAGTTGCCCAGGGTATTGATTGATTTCGTGACTTCCGGTTGATCTTTTAATTTTGTAATTAATACAACACAACAGCAAATTTTTTGAGGTTTTTCCCCTCTTAGCATAAATGCAAATATGATTCGGTTTAATTTTTGCATGCACGCGTTTGAAACATAAATTAATGAAGACTTTCGGTAGGTCGAATCAAAATTTCTTTGAAACATTTGATTTTTTCCTGAAATCTTTTATGAATCCAATCGAATTCATGTATTTGATTGTCTTAGCCTAACGATTATTTTATTTATTTATGTTTAACTTTTTTTTGCGCATGCACACCGTCAGATGCTCATTAAAGTGCTCCTTTATGCGCGTAGCTAAAGATTTTTTGAAACATTTGAAGGCAACTAATTTTATTTTTCCTCGCATTACTAAAACAAAATGTGTTTTTATAGTGGTTTTTTGCAGTTTTTTATTGCCGCAGGCTATAAAACTATGATTTTTATAGTATCAAATTTTAGCTCGACATATTTCGATTCAGATTCGAGGTTTTAGGAGCCTATGACCTTTTTACAGATGTGACTCATCGAATCTAAGATGGACCCATTAAAACCCATTTCCAAAGCGAAATACTTTGAATTTCCGGGAAACATTCATCTCTCGAAAATTTGATGGCCTGAAAAACTGCGAAGTTGATACCGTAATAACAAACGTCTTAAATGTCTGAAAAATTAGTAGGAAATCCGTAAAATCAAGGCCCAAAAATCTCCAAATATCGTGATTTTTTTACAGCCGGAAATGGAAGACGAGGACTACGACAAGAAGCTGGAAGCGCCGGCAGCGGAATAAGGAGGCCGCGGCTAGGTGCAGGCAGCGCCGGCTAGAGTTGATGCATACGTTGCAAGAGGTCGGCTAGGTGTTACTGTCCCTTTAAAATGGAATTGTCTAGCCTTCACAATCCCTTTAAAACGGGTTTGTTAGCTGTCACACCCCCTTTTAAACAAAAATTCAGCCCCACTTTTTTCAGCAAGTCGACAAGCAAAAGGACGAGAACCGCAAGAAGGACAATCAGATCAAGGAGCTGGAAGAGCCAGGAGAGGCAGGCTAGTTAGAGATCATTTGGGATGAGAGAGAGGTGAGGCAGGCTAGCAGAGACTCATATTTGGGATGAGAGCGAGGGGGAGGGGCAGACTAGCAGAGATCATTTGGGGATGAGAGAGAGGGGAGGGGCAGGCTAGCAGGAGATCATTTGGGATGAGAGAGAGGGGAGGGGGGCAGGCTAGCAGAGATCATTTGGGATGAGAGAGAGTGGGAGGGGGCAGGCTAGGAGAGATCATTTGGGATGAGAGAGAGGGGAGGGGGCAGGCTAGCAGAGATCATTTGGGATGAGAGAGAGGGGAGGGGGCAGGGCTAGCAGAGATCATTTGGGATGAGAGAGAGGGGAGGGGGCAGGCTAGCAGAGATCATTTGGGATGAGAGAGAGAGGGGGAGGGGGCAGGCTATAGTGAGATCATTTGGGATGAGAGAGAGTAGGGGTACTGGGCAGGGCTAGCAGGGATTCTTTGAGGAAATACTCGTGCTCAATTTCAGATCACGGACCTCCAACGCTTCCTCTCAAACGCACGACTGCAAAAATGACGCTCTGAGCAGCGGTCCCAAATCCCGGTCGGCATCCCCATACATCGGCAGGTGAGCTGAGCGAGTTCTTTGAAGAATTTTTCGGCGGGTGGAAAGGGACTAGAACCCAAAAATGGCCTTTTAGTTAATATTGGCAATAACGGCAAACCAAGCATACACTGAACCTGCTAACAAAATACAGTTGCTTAAACACTAATTTTTTAAACATATTTTATTAAACTTAGAACTGAAAAAACGATGAAAATAAGTGTTGATCCCATAGAAGTATTACTTAACGGTCTCTTAAAGATAAATTAATGCAGCAAGTAACTGCACGATAAAAATTTTTTAAGGAGAATAGTAGGAAAAAACTAGCCAAGTATGGGCCATCGATCAATAATCTTTTGTCGTGAAGCTAATAAAACCCAGTAATTTGCTTAAATATAATTCTTCTCAGAAAATTTAAAACTGAAAAATCCTCTAGTTTGAAATATCATAGCAAAATGTCCTTTTAAATACTATCTGGTATCATTTTCAACTGATTCGCTTGAACAAAGTAAACAAATAATGTTAGATACGTAATAAGCATTATAGGTGTCTTTTATCGTCAAAAATGGAATATTTAAGTTTTAGGGCCGTATTTTAACAAAATTTCGATTCGAGCCTAAAATACGCTACAAAATAAACAACAAAATCAATATACAATCAATGGAATGACCAATTTAGTTTTTCAGAACGTGCCGCCGACGTCGAGCGTCGATGATGGCGATGGCGTCGAACGCGCCCGGCGCTCAACCCCAACAGGGCCATTTGAGTGAGTTTTCCTGAATTTTAATAAGTTCTTACTTTACAAAAAAAAATTCAATTTTCTAGATATTCTTGTTAAAACCGAGTAAAGCATGTTTCAAAAATTGTGCATTTCTACGTTTTAGATCAAGATTTATATTTTATTATGTACTGGTTTCGTACTTCTTTATCACCGGTTTCCAGCTTTGTAAAAATGTTTGATTTTTTTTGGATAGTTCCACTTTAAACACTTTTGGGGAGCTGCTCAGCGGCTTTTGGGTGTTAAAAATTGATTTTTTTAGATATTTAACTTCGAACTACCACTAATGTTTCAAAATCATAGATTTCTTTGTAATGAATTTTATTGCAAAGCTCTACAAGCGGTAATTCCCGGTTTACAAAAACTTTGTTTTTTCGGACATTTTGAGTCTTTTCGAATTTTTATCTTTCAAAAAATCGAGCTTTCCAGGCTTATTATCTCGTAGATCATTAAGCTTTCGGACTAACAAGGGAAGTGCATGACCGGCCCACGAGAAATCGACACGAGACATAGTGGATCTGATAGAATCGACACGGGGATTCCGGAATCTGTAATCAGAATTTGCTAAATAAAACTGGAGAAAAAGTTATGAAGCTTCAAAGTTGGTAAAATCGCCCAAAATCGGACTTTTTATGGAACAGAAAAGGCCCAGGGAATGGAAATGTGCCACAACGCATTAGTGCATCTTGTTCAGTAGAAAAGCGCTGAATGAGCTATCTTATTTTAAGTTTACAATGATTTTCAAGCGAAAATCTTTCTATGAACGGGACAGGCCATACCCTTGCCCGCCATCCAAGCAAAACTTTTTTTCAGTGAATTGTTTGCGAACGTTATTTATTACAGCTCATTCGAAAGCGCTTTCTGCTGAACAAGATGCACTATTTCTTTTCCTCCTCAATTCCGTTCCCCGGTTTTTACGAGTTCTTAAAGGTACCAAAGCTTTAAGTGATTTGGCCACTTCCTTTGATGCTTCATAACTTTTTTTCTCCGTTTTATTTAGCAATTTCCGATTTATAGATCTGGAATCCCAGTCTGATTCTATCAGATCCACTAGGTGTCTCGTGTCGATTTTTTCAAGGCCGGTCGTGCACTTCCTTGTTAGTCAAATAATTCAATCAAAATAACTGATTTAAAACAAAATTAAATGATTAGATACTTTACTTTTTAAATAATAATCAACTTATTAAAGAACTTTATAAAATTCTTCGTTGATTTTCTTTGATTTTCCTGCGTCGCACGCTCGCTTGAATTTAAAATCTCATGTTCTTGAGCTTCGGGCTTTTAACGACAAAAATTAAAAGTTTCTTGAGACATTTCAAGGCGTTATTAAGACATTATAAAATAGCTTGTTTTTTACTTTTCCATGAAACACCTAAAATCGATCAGAATTTCCGGAGTTGTTTTTTAGAAGCAGCCCGCACGGCCCTTACCGAAGGTAAAAATCAATATCGTACTGTTGCGTGTTGTGGTGGTGTGTACCAAACTATTGTAAAAAACTTGGTGTAGTTTTTGTATTATTATTTATTACCATTCTTCTAAAATTAATATAAGCAGTATTGTGAATCTTTAAAAAATACTGCACTTGTTATAAAGGAAAAAAATTACCGTATATCTACGTTGCAGATGATTAGCGTGCTACGACCAACAACATAATGACAGGAAGCGCCAACTCCCCCGGCCGACATTTTCACCGCAAAGGTAATTTCTGTAACTTCATGCAACCTAATAGTTTTTGATTTTTTTATTTTTCTGAATCAGGGCGCCCGAGGGTAATTACCATCTTTTTATGTTCTTACACATAGTCTTGGCCTTACACACTTTTCCCAAAAATGAAAAATGCCTTAAAAAATTTAATTTGATCCTATAAGGACTGTGACAAAATCATAATAAATCATATTTTAATGACTTAATACCGTTAAATATGCAGTGTGCTATGCTAACGTGCCCGCCTACATAATGATTTTGGGTTTCCTGTTTTAAGACAACCTTGATATGAAAGAACACTTTTTTCTAGAAATGAAACCTCAACAATTTTTAAGTTTAAAAGCGTCTAAAAAATTTTCAACATTTCTAAACTTTATTTATAACTTTTTAAAAAGCAGAAATACCGTATTCGATAGACATCCTGTATTTGAGAGTCCATGCTCGGAGAAATTTTTTTGAATTAAAAAAAACGTGTTTTTCCAAAATATTCAAGCCTGTGTTGGTTTCTCAAACCCAGTTTTAGTCGAAATAACCGCCAAACGCATCTGCATTGTCAGCTTTCTGTATCCTTCAATACGGGTAACTATGGAGATTTTTAGAATATTTTAAAAATTGATGTTTTATCGAAATTTCTATATATTTATTTTCGATCTAGAAGCTAGCATATTCGCATTAAGCTTGTTCGTCCTTTTTTAAATATCGGTTGGGGCAGGCTAGCAGAGATCATTGGGGAAGCGAGTAACAACATTAACAAAATAAAAATTGACATAAAATTGACAATTATTGTGCCCTCTTTGCAGAACCCGAAGGAGGAGCAGTACGCTCGCCCAGCTGAACATGAACAATTCGGAGGACTTGCAGCGCCCCGATCGGTTCTGTTCGAGCTGCCCGCCACGTCGACGGTGAGAGTAAAGGGCGTGGCTAAACTTGGCAACCTAGCAGGGATTCTTTGGGAAAAGTTTAGGTTACGAGCTCTGTTTATAAATTCCTTCCAGCCGGAACAGTCAACGTTCGGTCCGCCTCCGGGGCTCAAACTCGCTCTTACCTGGCATGTAGGCTCAAACTAAAATTCTTAGCACATTCCCCGTACCGCTCATCGAATGGCATTGCAAAATCCTTAGATTACAAACTAAGCGAAAATACCGACTTAACTTTGAGACCCTTGGCTTATGCGTGGGGGAGGCGGCAAAGTAAACTCTTACTAAAGCTTAACCCTTAGATCAGCTTGGAGAAGCACTTTTCAGGGCTCCAGCTCGACCGCGTTGGTCAAGCCTCCCAGGGGCTCAGCTAGGCTCTACCAGCCAACCGCTCTTTGGAAACATTGACGAGCAAGTTTTTTCAGGCTTAGCTTTCTGTTTAGGGCGCGGCTTAGGCAGCAAGCTTAGGCTTTTCCAGCTTGGAGGCTTTTGGCTGAGGCTTGGCTTAGGCTTGGCTTAGGCGTTAGGCTTGGCTTAGGCTTGGGCCAGGCTTGGCCCGGGCTTGGCTTAGGCCTGGCGTAAGGCACGGCTTAGGCTTGGCTTAGGCTTGGCCCTGACAGCCCTGGCTGAAACTAGGCTTTTGCTTAGGCCGGCTTAGGCTTGGCTCTAGGGCTTGGCTTAGGGCTTGGCCCAAACGGCATACGGCTAAGAGCTAGATCAGCGGCTTGGCTAACGGCTCTGGCTTTAGGCTCCCGGCCAGGCTTCATCAGGCTCGGCTGAGGCTTACGGCAGGCTTTGGCAAGCGGCTGGAGCAGCAGATCATTAGGGCTTAAAAACGACAAACCTTTTTTCAGCGGGAGCCCCGACCCTGTTGGACGGCCCGACGGGCATCACGCCGATCACCAGCAACCCGATCCCAATCTTCGAAAGCAGCCGCGGCAACGATCTGCGCGGCGACCTGGCCAATCTCTAAGAAATCATGCCATCTCCGGTTTTTTAAAGGTACCGTACCGGCCGCCTTTCCAGTGCCAAATACATGGCGTAACCGTTTAAACCCGACCGTTCCCACCAAAACTCTATTTTTTTTGCCCCGCTGGTTTATCTACACTCTTGTGATTTGAAGTCAAAATCCCGGTTTTCTTGTGGTTTCTTGTAGTTTGAATTTTGCCGTGTTTTTCCCCAAGCAATGTACCGTATTTGCCCAATTGCTCGCGAATCTCCTTTTTCTTTTTTTAAAAAGACAACCCGATTCTTTTTTTGCGTTCGCAGCTTTACCCCCCGGCTATGTACCCAATTTCGGTTCTTGTGCATTATCGGGGGGACGATTTTCTCTAAAAGTCCAGGTATTCTAAAGATTTCACAAAATTTAGCTAATATTTCAAGCGAAAATTTACCTAAAAACTCGAAAAAACTTTTCAAATTCGAAATTTTTGTATTTTTTGAAAAAATTTGTAAAGTTTTTACGTTAGGAAATAGTAAAAGACCGTTTAGAGACAGTTCCAAATTTGATATAAGCAAAATTAGGCGAAAAAAATCTATTTATAATCAAAAAATTCGAAAATCTGGTGAAAAATCCGTGTTTTTGTAGTTTTTCTAATCGAAATTTGTGAATTTTTACCTTTAAAAAACTAAAAAACGGAAAAATTGGACCCTAGGACCCCCGATAATGCAAAAGCATCCCGTTTTCTCGAAAATAAACCCCCCGCTCCCAACTGGTTGTACCCTCAAAAACACCCCCGTCACACGGTTGTAATTTGTGTTCCGGAAAACCCCAAAACGTATCAAAAACTAGAATTATTTTTTTCAGTTTTACAGCCCCCGCATTGCCTACTTATCTTTTTCAACTATTTTTAACTTTCTAATCCTCGTAAAATCCATATTTTTAACGTCCAACTCAATTTTGTAACTAGTTTTCCACTTTTTCGAGGTTTTTAAAGCGTTTCCTGAAGAATTTAAAACGTTTTAAAGCTATTAAAACGTAAACTTATCCCCCATGGCTGTGTCTGTTTTTTTCTTGTGTTTGTGTCGTCATGTGCATTCCATTGTGATCACGATCAATTTCGAGTGGATACATTTTTCTTTTCGTTTCGCGTTTCCTTGTAGTCTCCGAATTTTTCAAGAAAATAAAGATCGTTTCGAAATTTGGTGTTATAACGCATTGCATCTCTAAAAAGACACAAAAATACAGCAAAAAGACACTCGTTTCACCGGCAAAGAGCCTGTAAAATTCCCTCACACACTATTACATCACTGAGAAGCTGTATAAAACCCCTATAAATCAGTTATCTAAACGGTGAAACCCAACAATAAAGCGCCAAAAAAAACAAGCAAAATCGAGCAACAAAAGCTGTTTTCCACCAAAAATACGATTTACTTGCCGATTACCGGTCGATTCTACAGACTATCAAATATTAATTGAAATCTTAAAACCTAGCGCAAAAACGATACAAAAATTCATGAACGGACTTTCGAAACAGAATAAGGAACGAAAAATCAATTTTTTTTATGATTTTACTACGTTCCGTTGCGCTCCACCGCACGAAACTGTCCATAGGCGTGTGACGTAGCTGGAGCGCGCTGGATTTTCGGTTTTCGATTTTTCGCAATTCTACCAATTTTCTTCAACTTTGTCTTTTTCCGTTTCGTTTTGCTCAAAATTCGCGACTATCACTGAGTTATTGGTCCATTCCGGTAGCGTATTATCTGAATTAACGTTTTAAGCTTCCAAAATGGCTCCTGAAAACCGGCGTTTCTAACTATCTTGATTTTACTTTGCGCCCCTCCGAAAAAAAGACCATTTTCGGGGTCGGAATTGGTAGACAGATGCTCAAAACGTCTTTCGCGTCGAAATTTATGTCCGAAAATTCATGTTTATCCTTAGAAAACCGATTTTGAAAAGATAGGGGCCGGAACGAAGCGGCCGAAACGTTCACCGGTAACTTGAGGCTTCAATTCCTGCAATTGTCTTTTTCTGTTTTCTTTGTCGCCTGCTATATTTCTTTACCGCCGTTTTTCAGGAATCTACAGCTCCTCCCCGTGCCACGCAGGCGCTCGCGCAGCCCAGCCTGAGGGATTGATCAACATGTCGGAGGTGTCGGCCCTGTTCGCCAAGCGCAAGGACAAGCAGAAGAAGCCGAAGGTCGTCTCGATAGACGCCGTCGCCGAGGTGCTCGTCCGCCACGCCAACAAGACGGTATGCATGATGTTTCTCGTAATATTTTCTTTTACTTCAGGAATTCGAAGCTTTTGCTGAGGTTGAAGACTCGCGCCCAAGCGTTGACGCACCGCCGCTGCGACCCGGCGTTGACACCGAGTGGATCGACGAATTTGAGGATGACTGTGGACGGTAAATCATTTTTTTCGTTGTTCTCAATTCTGCTTTTTAGTCTCGAGGGCCTTGGCATCAAAGACATGGGTGCCGAGATCAGCGAGAAGGAGGAAGTGAGCGAACACGCGCAAGAAAACGTCGTCGAGGTGCAACACAAGGGCTGGTTCGATAAGGTAAAGTTTGTTGGCCATTTTCGGCGCTTCCGTGCTGGCGGGGGAGAAAGGAGCAGATTTAGTATATTGATCACGATACCTGGCCTAGTAAAAAACAAAATGTATTTTTCGTCTTCTTTGCTAGTCTAGGCCACTAAACAGTACAAAATGCTTATTATTACATCCGAAAACCGGCAATTTTGGGGAGTTTAGGCCATTTTTAATGTTTTCGAGCAAAAACTCCTCGTTTTCAAAACAGTTGTAATGTTATCTAAGCTGTTTTAAATAGAAAACGTTGCAAAAGGCAAGGAAAATGGTTTAAATTCATTTTCGCCGGAGAATGCCATCGCAAAAAATTGCCTAAGCTCGCCCGTTAGAAACATTGGTCCCCCGCTAACACACAAGCGCCCCGTGTTCATTCTCCAATGATTGATAGCCATATTTGGCTTTTTAGAAAGAAGACGGGCAGACAGATGACGAGTCCTCGGCGCCAATCGTCGCCAAGCCGGCCACCGGCGGCGCCTACCGGCTGAGGGTCAACCGCGCCAACATCGACCTCACCAATCAGGTATGAATGTATTTCACTATCTTCACTTTTTTTTTCAGGAAATGTTCCCGACAATCGGCGCCGCCGTCGAGATGGAGAAGCGACACAAGGACGACAAGAAGAACCCGTGGTAAGATTTTTCTGTTTGGCAAGACTTCCCATTCTTTTAGGACTTCCGTGGAGCAGCCGCCGGCCTCTGGCGGAAGATACGTGCCGCCGTGCAGGCGAGCCGATGATGACGCCGATTTTGCCGCCAGCCGCCGCGCTGCAAAGGTAAATTTTTTCTACGATTACTAATGAAAGCGTAAAAACGTTACAAATCGTCATCAAAACCACAAAAAATTATAATTTTTCGATTAAAGCAATTTTTCAAAAAGTTTTGTATTGTTTTGCCGGATCTTTCGCATTATCGAGGGACCCATTTTTTAAGAATTCTATTTTCCTAGTGTAGATAGGAAAAGTGTTTCTAAACTGGTTTTACTATGCCTAAACGTAAAAACGTTACAAATTTTCGGTAAAAAATACAAAAATATCGGTTTTTCGGGGAAATATGGTTGATTTCGACGAAATTTCGTCTAAAAAACTGTCCAGCGCTGTTTTTAGATAGTTTTACGCTTGGAATATATTTAAATTTTACTAAAAATACTATCCATGACATGGCTAGGCGGGTCTCGTAGGAAAATTTTCGCCCCCTCCCTCGCTAATTCCAAAGCATCGGTTTCTCAATTGACTCTATCATTTTAGGAAGACGCCATCGCCGCCGCCCGCGCCATGACGCGCACGCCGACGGCTAGCGCTCCACGCCCCTGCCCGGCCGGCGACTTGAAGCCGAGCGCACCCCCTGCCCAAGTTGACGCCAAGCCTGAAGAAACGAAGCCCGCCGCTCGCACCAAGCCCAAATACGTGCCGCCGCATTTGCGCTGAAATACTCGTATTTTATTTGCACTCTCCGTTGTTGAAATGTGCCTCCTCGTCGCTTTCTGCTCTTTGCTCTCTTTCCGTATCTCAGCTCTCTCTAGCATTTTATTGTCCGAACCGTTGAATTGTTCTGCATCGTGCTCCCATCAGGGAGTTCGTCTGCTTTTCTTTCGTTTTATTACAGAATCTGTTCGTTGGCCTGTTTGTCGGTTTTTTTGGCCGCGCTCCAGGCCTCCGATAAATCGTTGAAAGCTTTATTTGGTTGCTCGTGCTCAAAACTCGTGGATGCGCCGCAATTTATTGAGAAGGAATGGAATGGCGAGGCGTTTTTTCGACGGTAACTGCTGTCATTTCGAAATTTCGGCAAACGCCGATCTGGCCATACAAATTCTTAGAAATTTGTGGTTTCCAACGCTTTTTGGTTTTATTTGTGAGATGAAAGAAGCATCTAACAAAAAAACGAACTTTAGCCTACGGTTGGCCAAAATTTAGGAAACGGCGTCTGCCCGAAGTTCTCACTTTCTATACAAAATTCTCTGCTCTATTTAATAAGGTTTAACTATATTTAAAGTAGAAAACCTTGCAAAAAAGTGACAATTATGGGAAAAAGTCGAAGTTTCGGTTATTTTTGGTCGCAAAAAAACATATGTTCGTTCTATACAGATTACGTTAATGCGTAGTCATAGGGTCAAAACCCCCTCCCACAGCCGAGTGTTAAATTTGTTAGCGATATTAAATCCAAAAACTGCTTTTTGCATTCGGCCTTTGAAAAAGAAAAGTTTCGTCGTTGGCTGTATGCAATGCTGCTAATTTATGCTTTTTACTTTTGTAGGCATGACCCCGGTGAAACCTGGAAAAGGCCGTGCCGTGAAGCGCCGCTGGCCTACTGACGACAATCCGACGGATTCGGAAGAGGAAGAACACCGTCAAACAAGACCCGTTTGCAAGGTACGTCAGCACAGCATTTTTATGTGGGCTGATATTGTCGTCTGAATTCTGGCCAAGATTCACGGCAAATTCATCAGCGAAACCCCGCTATTTAATGCTTTTTCTAGCAGTGCAGCAATGCTATCTGCCGCCATCAGCCTTACCAGCTGGCTCAGCATACGGTGGCGCACCTCGCCTTCCGACCCTGGAAATGTTCTGGTATTTCTGATGTTCCGAACACAGTTATTTTTAGTTTGCGAATATACTACGACTCGAAAAGGCGACCTGCAGGTGCATCTGAACGCGCAACATCAGGGAACCGGCCGGGCCGTCGATAACCGGTACTCGCGCTGATTGACTTTAAAGGGCTGCCAACGGCATAGTCAATCGGTTACGCGCGGAAAAGAAAATGTCTCGGCGCGGAGGCGCGGAGACATTTTCTTTCCCGCGTTTAACGGATTGGCTTAAGCCGTCGGCATCCTTTTAAATAGCATGAGCTTTAGCACTGCCGAATACTTCGATGCGCTCGAGGCGAAGATAAACGCCAACTTTCCGGCTCACTCAAGTGCCATCGCTAAATACATTCGAGAACAAAAGAAGGCATTGGAATTTCGAGATGCATCTGATCATGGTACGAATGTTTCACTTCCTTCACGACTGCGATTTTCCAGCAGATGACAATCGGCAAGAGTGTCGAAAACTTTCTAGTTGCATGGTGGGTGATACAACCATTGATTTTTCAAATAATTTCATTTCTCGAGCTTTTAAGATCAGTAGCAAATTCGGGAAGTGATTTTCTGAGCCTGGTTGATCTTATATGTGCGCAAATTTAGCCAATTTCGCAATCGCCACGCGTCTGGATCCATCTGGTTTTTGGTTTTCCAGGAATGCAGAACCCCGATGCGCTCAACTAGTGCTCCGTATCTGGTTCGGCACTCGTTGTCACACCTCTCCTTCCGACCCTGGAAATGTTCTGGTATTTCTAACGTTCCGAATACATCTATTTCCAGTTTGCGCCTGTACTAGGTCTGAGAAAGACAAGCTGCAAACGCATCTGAACGCGCAACATCATGGTAATGGTTGGGCCATCGATAACCGGTATGTGCTTGGTTTGATTTTGAGCTGAGTTTTAGCACTGCTGAGTTCTACGATGAGCTGGAGGCGGAGACGAAAACCGACTTTCCGGCTCACTCAAGTGCCATCGCGAAATACATTCGAGGACGAAAGAAGGCGGCGGGATTTCAAGATGCATCTGATAATGGTAAGACTCTTCCAATTTCTTCTCGATTGTCAGTTTTCATAAGAGGACGATCCGCCAGGTTTTTCAACCTCGGTATTTAATAATATTTCTTTTTATAGCAAGCCGCCATGGTGGAGATGCTAATGGCAGAAATGACGGCGCTGAAGGAGCGCATCCGCAATGGCTGATGGCAGAGGCCACGCCGAGAATGATGCATGATAACAGCAAACACCTATTATCTCGATACTTCTAATGCAATTTGTTGAAATAATTTGTTATGTTGCAATTTGCTTTTAAAATGGTGTTGAACCAAATAAATTTTTGTTTTCGAAAGCCGTTGCTCAAGAGCGCGTGTTCTTCAACAGCTTGAATATCATGTTTGAAAATTGAAAATTTTAATTTTTTTCTTAATAGGACTAACGTAAAGACTCGATTATATCCATCGATTCCAGCCGGAAAATCCATTTATTTTAATTTTGGTACCGTAGAGTGAACTGGCCAAGTTAAAATGGTTATAACTTTAGTTAAAAGCTAGTCCCGATAGTTTTTCAATTGGAAATGAAAGAACGCGACGAGATCTATCGATTCCAGCCCAAAAATCGACATTTTAGCTAGTTACCGTAATTTTTGCAAGAAAAGTTTCGTCTTTGGATGTGTCTAGACGCGTGTTACTTTTGCAGACATGACCCCGGTGACACCTGGAAAAGGCCTTGCCGTGAAGCGCCGCTGGCCTACTGACGACAATCCGACGGATTCGGAAGAGGAAGAATACCGTCAAACAACGCCCGTTTGCATGGTACGTAATCACATAGTTTTTATGCGGGCTAATATTGCAGTCTTTAAATCTGGCCAAGGTTCGCGACAAATTTATCAGAGAAACCCTGCTAATTAATGGTTTTTCCAGCAGTGCAGCACTGCGATCTCCTGCGCTGACCCTTGCCAGGTCGCTCGGCACTCGGTGGCACACCTCACCTTCCGGCCCTGGAAGTGTTCTGGTATTGCTAATGTTCCGAATGCACCTATCTCCAGTCTGCCCATATACTACGACTCGGAAAGGCAACCTGCAAAAGCATCTGAAGGAGCGACATCATGGAAACGGCCGGGTTCTCGATAATCGGTACGTGCTCGGATTGACTTTGAGCATGAGTTTTAGCACTGCCGAATACTACGATGCGCTCGAGGCGAAGACGAAAGCCAACTTCCCGGCTCACTCTAGTGCGATCGCTAAATACATTGGATGTCATAAGGAGGCATTGGGATTTGAAGATTCAAAAGATCATGGTAAGAATGCTTGAGTTTATTCTCGACTGCCATTTTCCAGAAGAAGACCAGCCGCAAGACGGGCGAAAAATCTCCGTCTGCAAGGTAGGGGATGCGTCGCTTATTTTTCGACTAATATCGTTTATGTACCACCGTTCGTTGGAAACTGACCAACGCGACGCAGGTATTCAGTACTCCTTTTTTCCAGGAATGCAAAAATTCTATTGGCTCAACTAATGCTTTGCATCTCATTCGTCACTCGTTGACGCACCTCACCTTTCGACCCTGGAAGTGTTCTGGTATTTTCATTGTTCCGATGACACCTATTTTCAGTCTGTACCTTTACTGCGAAACCGAAATCCGTTGTGAAGACGCATCTGAACGTGCAACGTCAAGGAAATGGCCGGGTCATCGATAATCGGTACGTGCTCGGATTTACTTTGAACATGAGTTTTAGCACTGCTCAATACTACGATGCCCTCAAAGAAAAAGCCCAAGCCAACTTTCCTGGCCGCGCAAAGGTTATCGCCAAGTACATTGGAGGCCAAAAGTACGGATTGGGAATTCAGGCCCGACCGGATAACGGTAAGAATGCTTCGCTAACTTTTTAACTGAGATTTTTTCAGAGGATGCCACCACTCCAGAAGACAACCCACAAATTGTTCATATCACAGCCCCTGGCGACAAAGGTCTCGACATTCCGCGAAACGTTGCAGACAAGGCCTGAAGCTGCGTCGTCAAATGCTGGTAGGCCCCAGTTTCGCTTTGTATTCTTCACAGGGTGCCCTAAAAGTAAGCTATTTTTCTCAGTAATTCCCTACGACCCTTTAACAAAATATATACCACTTTTTGTATCAGTTCACACCACTTTTAGATATGAAAAGCCTATGGAAATTTGTAAAAATCTCTGGTTAATTCTTGTCAAAAACGTATGAAAAACGACCAACAGTCAGAATTTGCGAATCTTCAAAAATGTCCAGGCCATTTTTTTTAACTTTCTGGCAAGGCAAAACTACGAAAAACCTTATAAAGATACCTTGTTTATTGTTAACCGATCACCGAAAAACGAAAATTAATTTCCCTCTGTTAACAGTCCAGTACCTCTTTCGAAAGCTCTCCACTAGGTGAGGAGGGCTCTTTCTGACGTTTACTACTTTGTACGAGTTGTTACGGATTTTCTGATTGTCCGACGGTAGCGTTTTTTAATATTTAGGTACGACAGCCGAGGTGGCCGTTCTGACAATTCCATCAGAATCACCGCCATTCCATGCCAATTCGGCCTTCTCTCCTCCGTCAAGAGTAGCTGTCGTACAACCACGCATCGAGACCGTGCCCCAAATCGACACTGACCACAGCATCGACAAGCGCTTCGATGAGACCATTGTAAGATATTTATGGCAATAATACAAATCCCTTTTTTAGATGACAACGAAGCTGGGAGGAGCCAAGATCTCATCGGACATGGCCAGAACACGCGCTGCAATGAGGGAGACGAAATCTGACGTGGCTCGCATGCAAATTAACATGGCACTCCTGGTATTGTTTTCTTCTCTTGTTATGGTGGAACGGTCACACTTTGATCACTACTATCTTGCCAAGTTCTTAAAATTAGTTATAAAATGGTTCTTTCGCATTATCGGGGGGGGGGGGCAAAAAAGTTTTTTGGGATGGAATTCTTCGAATATAAATAGTGCAAGTGCTTCTAGACACTTGGTTTAACTGTTTTATTGATGCAAAGAATTTGGATGATTTAGGCCAAAAATGATTTTTTTGCCCAAAATCCGACTTTTTGAATGTTTTTCTTAGTTAAAATCCAGTTTTATTTTACTAAAATATCGAGAGAGTGAGAGATGGAAAGCAACAGAGCTCGAGAAACATATCCCATTTCAGGAGACCCTCTCGGAAACGCGGAATGCCGAAAATCGCCGCCTGAAGCAGCAGAACGACCAGGTAATCCGCATTTTTCGCGTCTAATTTTTCTTTTTTAGCAAGCCGCCCAGCTGAAAATGCTGATGGAAGAAGTGGCGGCGCTGAGGGAGCGCATGCGGAACGGCTGATGTTGAGGCCCACGCCGAGAATGACGCACGAAAAGAGAAAACACCTATTATCTCGATATTTCTAATGCAATTTGTTGAACTCATTTGTTATGTTGCACTTTGCTTGCACTTTGCTTTTAAAACGTTGTTGAGCCAAATAAATTGTTGTTTTCGAAAACCGTTGCTCATCAGCGAATGTTCTGTGGTTGATCCGCTTGAATATCGAGGTTGAGAATTGACAGTTTTAACACCAGTTTTGGCCCTCTAATTGAAGAGTTCTATTCGTGCCGCCATTTCGTTGGATTACTTTTTGAAATTGGAACGTTTTGCGTTTTTTAGTGGTTCTTTCGCATTATCGGGGGGTAGATGTTTTGTAGTAATCTAAAAATGCCTAGGAGCTTAATAGGAAGCGGTTTCATATTGTTTTTTGGGAAATAGAAAAACTATCTAAAGACTTTCAAATACCTTTCAAAAATTGAAATTTTCGTAAGAAAACGGCCAATAAAACACAAAAAAAGGCACGGACAATAGAAATTTATATAAAAGTGATTCTAGTTATATTCGTTTTTCATGCTGTTGTAAAGAAAATTATAAAGAAAAGCTGTTGCATGTCTGCGGTGCTGCGAATTGACGCTTGTTACTTTTGCAGGCATGACCCCGGTGACACCTGAAAAAGGCCGTGCCCTGAAGCGCCGCTGGCCTACTGACGACAATCCGACGGATTCGGAAGAGGAAGAACACCGTCAAACAAAGCCCGTTTGTAAGGTGCGTAATTACATCGTTTTTATGCAGGCCAAGAGGGTCGTCTCTAATAATGACCGCGGCCAACGAAAAACTTATCGGCAAAACCCTGCTAATTCGTGCTTTTTCTAGCAGTGCAGCCAGGCGATCTCCAGAAATGAGCCTAGTCACCTCGCTCTGCACTCGTCGATGCACCTCGCCATTCGACCCTGGCAGTGTTCTGGTATTTCCAATGTTCCGAATACACCTATTTCCAGTCTGTACCGTTACTGCGAAACTGAAAAGCCATGCTAAGACCCATCTGAAAACCCAACATCAAGGAAATGGCCGGGTCATCGATAATCGGTACGTGCTCGGTTTGACTTTGAGCATGGGTTTTAGCACTGCTGACTACTACGATGAGCTCGAGGCGCAGACGAAAGCCAACTTTCCAGCTCATTCAAGGGCCATCGCTAAATACATTGGAAGTCATAAGGAGGCACTGGGATTTCAAGATGCATCCGATAATGGTATGAGTATTTTAATTCTTTCTTGACCCCCATTTTTCAGAAGATGACAATCCGCAAGACGGTCGAAAAATCTCCATATGCACGGTAGGTCATAGGATCATTGATTTTTGGACCTTTTTCTATCCAGGCTTTGCTATTTTGTAATTTTTGCAGGAGTGCAGTCATTCGATTCGAACGTCAGCTAGGGCTCTCTCTGAGCACTCGTCGACACACCTCGCCATCCGACCCTGGAAGTGTTCTGGTATTTCCAATGTTCCGAATACACCTATTTCCAGTTTGCGCATGTACTATGTCTGAGAAAGGCAATCTGCAAAAGCATCTGAATGAGCTACATCAAGGAAATGGTTGGGCCATCGATAATCGGTACGTCCACGGATTGATTTTGACCGGAAAACTTTAGCACTGCTGAGTACTACGATGCGCTAGAGGCGAAGACGAAAGCCAATTTCCCGGCTCAATCAAGTGCCATCGCTAAATCCATTGGTGGACAAAAGAAGACATTGGGATTTCAAGATGGCTCCGATCATGGTATCATTATTTTGATTCCTTCTTGACTGCCCTTTTTGAGAGGATGACTATGCGCAAACCCGTCGAAAAATCTTCAGCTGCAAGGTAGGTAATTGGTTCATTTATTTTTAGACTAATCTGGTTTATGAGCCACGGTTGGTGGGAAATTACTAGTGAGACTTTGTTAGTCAATACTATGATTTCTAGGAATGCAGACGTTCTATTGTCTCAACTAGGACTTGGTATCTGGCTGAGCACTCGGTGGCGCACCTCTCCTTCCGACCCTGGCAGTGTTCTGGTATTTCCAATGTTCCGAGGACACCTATTTTCAGTCTGTACCTTTACTGCGAAACTGAAATCCGTTGTGAAGCACCATCTGAAGACCCAACATCAAGGAAATGGCCGGATCATCGATAGTCGGTACGTGCTCGGACTGACTTTGAGCATGAGGTTTAGCACTGCTGAATACTATGATGCGCTCGAGGCGAAGACGAAAGCCAACTTTCCGGGTCACTCAAGTGCCATCGCTAAATCCATTGGAAGACGAAAGGAGGCATTGGGATGTCAAGATGCATCTGATCATGGTATCATTATTTTGATTCCTTCTTGACTGTCATTTTTCAGAAGATGACAATCCGCTAGACGATCGAAAAATCTCCCTCTGCAAGGTAGGGGATGCGTCGTTTATCTTTGAACATGTGGTTTATGGACCGCGTTTCGTGTGAAATTTGCCGGCGAGACTCTGGTATCCAATACTATTTTCCAGGAATGCAGACACTCGATTGTCTTAACCCATACTGGGCATCTGGCTCAGCACTCGTCGACACACCTCACCTTCCGACCCTGGAAATGTTCTGGTATTTCCAATGTTCCGAAGACACCTATTTCCAGTTTGCGCTTGTACTACGACTCAGAAAGGCAGTTTGCAAAGGCATCTGAACGAGCAACATCAAGGAAACGGCCGGGTCATCGATAATCGGTACATTCTCGGATTGACATTGAGCATGAGTTTTAGCACTGCTGAATACTACGATGCCCTCAAAGCAAAGGCGCAAGCCAACTTTCCTAGCCGCGCAAAGGCTATCGCCAAGCACATTGGAGGACAAAGGCACGTCTCGGGAATTCAGGGCGGCGTCGATAACGGTAAGAATGTTTTCCTGGCCTTTTGATTGCGATTTTAGAGGATGACACTCCAGAAGACAACCCACCAATTGTTCGTCGCCCAGCTCCTGGCAACAAAAGTTAGTAGTTTTTGATTTCTAGAAAGCTATAAAAATTTTGATAACTCGAAAATTTTTCCATAAGATCAAAAATCCCGAAATTCTGATTATTTTTGTACATGTTTATATCTAAAAACTACGGAAACTGCTTTTAAAATCGTTGATATTTGCTTATAGGGCCGTAGAGATTCAGAGGGAAAAATTTCCCTTCCCACTAACCGTCCAGAACTCTATTTAGACTGCACTAGTCTTTAAAAACCTCCAGAAAATTCTAAATATTGGTCCAAAATGTCTGAAAATCACCAGAAAGGTCATAGTAATTCGGGTAATGGAAGTTAAAGGATATCGGGGGCAGACGGGGCTAAGGTTGAAAAGCCGCGAAGCCGAAACGAAAAAAAAGTAAAAACTTAAATTCGAACAGTCTTCGGCTGGTTAGAAGGGAGTTTTTTTTGGGAGGCCCTGTATTTGGCCTGAAAATTTTCATTAATCTCCCGAATTTGTTGTTTAGGTTCGGTGCCGCAAGGAGTGGTGCCGGATGCTGTTCCACCACGATCCAAAGAGAAATCGACTCATCGAACGATGGCCGATACTCAAAGCGAAGTTAAGCAAGAGCTACTAGATGTCGAAAATTCTTCATTTGGTTGGTTGCTAATTGATTCACTTATCGCATAAATTTAGATTTTCATGTCGTAATCGAGGGAAGTGAGGCGGATGCTCTTGCTGATGCTCATGCTCCAATCCGCCACCAAAACGAGCAAAATGTCCGGATTGGTACTTCTAATAAGTATTTATTGAATTTCTGAGGTTTAGGTGACAAAGACCAATCATCCTCGCCTACCCTTCATCCAATCGTTGTCAAGGAAGAACTTCTAGGTACTGATTTGTTGGAAACTCGTTGTGATTCTTTAGATAGAAAACGGATCTTTCTATTATCGGGGGAGTTTGAAAAGAAAAAGGATGTTGATTTTTACTATCCTAAACGTAAAATAGAAATTTCATTAAAAAATACAAAAATCTAGATTTTTCAACCAAAATTTCGCCTTTTTGACAATTTTCAAAGTTTTTAGATAGATTTTCTAGTGGAAACATAGTTTTATTTCACGAAAAACATTATGAAAATGCTTGCTGCTGAAGTTACTAGGCATTTCTAGATAATACAAAAATTTCTCCCCCCGATAATGCGAAAGAACCTGTGATTCTATTAATCTCCGCTTAGATGAAAATCCAGCCGAAGAACCGAGACGAATCGATAAGAAGAAGAAGAAGAAGATCAAAAGAGGCGAGGAGGACTGGGCAGCCGAGGTGGCCGTTCTGACAATTCCATCAGAATCACCGCCATTCCATGCCAATTCGGCCTTCTCTCCTCCGTCAAGAGTAGCTGTCGTACAACCACGCATCGAGCCCGTGCCCCAAATCGACACTGACCACAGCATCGACAAGCGCGTCGAAGAGACCATTGTAAGATATTTATGGCAATTTAATTCTTTTTTAGATGACAATGAAGCTGGGAGGTGCGAAGATCTCTCTGCGGCATGGCCAGAATGCGCGCTTCCATGAGGAGACGAAAGTCTGACGTGGCTCGCATGCAAACCAACATGGCACTCTGGTATGCGGCTTTTGTAATTGTTTTCTTCTCTTTTTAAGGTGGAACGGAAACACGTTTATCACTACTATCTTGCGAAATTCTTAAAAATAGTTATAAATGGTTCTTTCGCATTATCGGGGGGGGAATTTTTTTTATGAGACGCAATTCTTCGAATATAAATAGTGAGGGGTTCTAGACACTTTTTTTAACTGTTTTTTTTTATGCAAAAGAATTTAGATGATTTAGACCAAAAAAAAGATTTTTTTTGCCAAAATCCGACTTTTTGAATGTTTTTCTTAGTTAAAATCCAGTTTTATTTTACTAAAATATCGAGAGAGAGAGAGATGGAGAGCAACCAAGCTCCAGAAACACGTTCTGTTACAGGAAACTCTCTCGGAAAAGCGGAATGCCGAAAATCGCCGTCTGAAGCAGCAGAACCACCAGGTAACCCACATTTTTCGCCTCTAATTGTATCTAATTTTCCTATTTTCTATCTCATTCTACTTTTTCTTTTCTAGCAAGCCGCCATGGTGAAGCTGCTGCAGGAAGAAATGACGGCGATGAAGGAGCGGATCCGCAATGGCTGATGGCAGAGCCCACGCCGGGAATGGCCCACGAAAAGAGAAAACACCTATTATCTCGATATTTCTAATGCAATTTGTTGAACTCATTTGTTATGTTGCACTTTGCTTGCACTTTGCTTTTAAAACGTTGTTGACCCAAATAAATTGTTGTTTTCGAAAACCGTTGCTCATCAGCGAATGTTCTGTGGTTGATCCGCTTGAATATCGAGGCTGAGAATTGACAGTTTTAACACCGGCTTTGGCCCTCTAATCAAAGTGCTCTATTCGTGCCGCCCTTGTTCAATTGCTTTTGAAATTGAAACGTTTTGACTTTTCTAGTGGTGCTTTCGCATTATCGGGGGGGGGGTAGATGTTTTTTATTAATCTAAAAATGCCTAGGAGCTTAATAGGAAGTGGTTTCATATTGTTTTTTTGTAAAATAGAAAAACTATCTAAAGACTTTGAAATACATTGAAATTTTCGGTAAGAAAACGGCCAATAAAACAAAAAGCGCACCGACATTAGAAATTTAGGAGCTATTGATGTTTGGGGGGGGCATCTTTTTTTTGGGGGGCTTTTTCTAGCCTACGCTTGTCTCAAAGCCTAAGCTAACCAAGCCAAGCCCAGCCTAAGCCAAACCTAAGCCGTGCCTAGGCTTAAGCCCAAGTCTAAGCTAATCCTAAGCTAGCTCTAGGCTAAGTCTAAGCTAAGGCTAGGCTAAACCTAATGTAAGCCTACACTAAGCCTAAGCTAAGCCAAAACCAAGCCCAGGCCTAAGCTAAGCTTAAGCCTAAGCCAAGCCTAGGCATAAGCTAAGTCTAAGCCAAGCGTACGCAAAGTTAAAGCTAAGCCTAAGCCTAGACCGAGGCCAGCAAAAAAATGCCCCCCCAAACATCAATAGCTCCGAAATTTATATAAAGGTGATTCTATTTAAATTCTAATTTCTCATTCTGCCTTTACAAAACGAAAAGCTGTTGCATGTCTGCGGTGCTCTAACTTGACGCTTTTGACTTTTGCAGGCATGACCCCGGTGACACCTGGAAAAGGCCGTGCCGTGAAGCGCCGCTGGCCTACTGACGACAATCCGACGGATTCGGAAGAGGAAGAACACCGTCAAACAAGCCGGGTTTGTAAGGTGCGTAAACACATCGTTTAATATGGTGGTATTTAATAATGACCACGGTCAACGAAAAACTTATCTGCTATTTAATGCTATTTTCCAGCAGTGCAACATGGCTATCTGCAGAAATGATGCTAATGTGCTCGCTCTGCACTCGTCGACGCACCTCTCCTTCCGACCGTGGAAGTGTTCTGGTATTTCCAATGTTCCGAATACACCTACTTCCAGTTTGCGCCTATACTGCGACTCGGAAAGGCGGCGTGCAAATTCATCTGAATGAGCAACATCAAGGAAACGGCGGGATCATCGATAATCGGTACATCCTCGGATTGGCATTGAGCATGAGTTTTAGCACTGCGGAATACTACGATGGGCTCGAGGCGAAGATGAAAGCCAACTTTCCTTGTCACTCGAATGCCATCGCTAAATACATTGGAGGACTGAAGGAGGCAGTGGGATTTCAAGATGCGTCAGGTGATGGTATGAATATTTTAATTCCTTCGTGACTTCTTTTTTTTGAGAGGATGACAATGCGCAAGACGGTCGAAAAATCTTGAGCTGCAGGGTAGGTAATAGGTTCATTGATTTTTAGACTAATGCGGTTTATGAGCCACGGTTGGTGGGAAATTACTAGGGAGACTTTGTTAGTCAATACTAGAGTGCGGCTTATTCAAACCGGTTTTGAATCAGATTTCCGTTATTCAAATCAAACCGGTTTGAAGAAGGTGCCTCGAAAACTTAGCCGATTAGCATCCATCGATTAACATGCTGATTTGCCTGTTTTTCAAATCAACTCAAACCAACTCAAACCTGGTCGGTTTGGTTTGAATAACGGATCCTTATTCAAACCAAACCGGTTTGATTTGAAAGCAGATTCTTATTCAAACCGCCCTTATCAAAACAAACCGGTCTGAGTCGCGATTTGAGTTGAATAAGCCGCACTCTAGTCAATACTATGATTTCCAGCAATGCACCCATGCGATTGTCTCAACTAGGACCACGTATCTGGCTGAGCACTCGGCGGCGCACCTCTCCTTCCGACCCTGGCAGTGTTCTGGTATTTCCAATGTTCCGAGGACACCTATTTTCAGTCTGTACCTTTACTGCGAAACTGAAATCCGTTGTGAAGCACCATCTGAAGACCCAACATCAAGGAAATGGCCGGATCATCGATAGTCGGTACGTGCTCGGACTGACTTTGAGCATGAGGTTTAGCACTGCTGAATACTATGATGCGCTCGAGGCGAAGACGAAAGCCAACTTTCCGGGTCACTCCAGTGCCATCGCTAAATACATTGGAAGACAAAAGGAGGCACTGGGATTTCAAGATGCATCCGATCATGGTATGAATGTTTCACTTCCTTCTCGACCGTCATTTTTTCAGAAGATGACAATCCGCAAGACGGTCGAAAAATTTCCAGATGCACGGTAGGTGATAGGATCCTTTATTTTTGGACTAATGTACAGGGTGTCCCAAAAAATCGATCCCTTTCTAGCGGTCCGGAGAAAGCTCGGATCGGGAGGATTTTACGCCATTCGAAGCCCTCTAAACTTCTGCGGCGCCTTAGAGGGAGTCGGTCTTTTTTGGGACACCCTGTATTTTATAGAACGCTGTTCGCCGAAAATTTGCCAGCCAGGCTTCGTCAGTATGATTTTTGCAGGAGTGCGGTAATTCGATCCGACAAACATCAGCTAAGTTTCTCGCTCAGCACTCGGTGACGCACCTCTCCTTCCGACCGTGGAAGTGTTCTGGTATTTTCAATGTTCCGAAGACATCTATTTTCAGTCTGCAACCACGTTGCGAAGCTGAAACATAACATGCAACAGCATCTGAACGGGCAACATCAGGGAAACGGCCGGGTCATCGATAATCGGTACGTGCTCGGATTGACTTTGAGTATGAGTTTTAGCACTGCCGAATACTACGATGCCCTCAAAGCAAAGACGCAGGCCAACTTTCCTAGCCGCGCAAAGGCTATCGCCAAGCTAATTGGAGGGCAAAGGCACGTATCGGGAATTCTGGATGATTCCGATGACGGTACGAATGCAGCCCTGACTTTTTGACCACAATTTTTTAGAGGATGACACTCGAGAAGACAACCCACCGATGGTTCATCTCCCAGCCCCTGGCGACAAAATTCTCGAAATTCGGCGAAACGTGCAGACAAATCCAGAAATTGCATCCTCAAATGCTGGTATGTTTCTGTGGTTCTGGACTGTTTGGCGGGAGTATTTTAATTAGGTAACCATTTTTTGTCTACGACCTGTTGGTGATATATTATGTATATTTATAGTGTTTTTTGTAGTTTTTGTTTGCTAGAAAGTTGTAAGAAATTTCTAAAAATTTTGAAAGTCCGAAAATTTTTACCTTGCTTGGTCATTTTTCGAAAATTTTATTATTTTTCTATATTGTTTTATATCCAAAAAATTTGCAAAATGCTATAAATTGGTTTCTATTGCGCATATTCATAACAATAAGCATAAAAGGTCAAAATTTGTGAATTTTCAGCTTTAGAGGGAGTGGTTTCCTTTTTTGTCGTAGGAATTCGGGTAATGTAAGGTAAAGGATATCACGGCTACAAGAGGGCTAAGGTTGAAAACCGCGTCGCGTTTTTTCGGACGTCATGTATTTTACCCAGAAAACCGTTATTCATCTCCCGGTTTTTTAGGCACGATCAAGCAAGAAGTGATGCCAGACGCTGATCCACGACGATCCAAAGAGAAATCGACTCACCGAACGATCGCTGATACTCACCGCGAAGTTAAGCAAGAGCCACTAGATGTCGAAAATTCTTCATTTGGTGGGTTGTTAGGTGATTAACTTATTGCAATTTTTCTAGATTTTTATGTTTAAATTAAATTTAGATTTTCATGTCGTAGTGGACGGAAGTGAGGCGGATGCTCATGCTGATGCTCATGCTCCAATCCGCCACCACAATCAGCAAAATGTCCGGAATGGTACTTCTAACAAGTATTTATTGCATTTCTGAGGTTTAGGTGACAAAGACCAATCATCCTCGCCTACCCTTCATCCAATCGTTGTCAAACAAGAACTTCTAGGTACTGATTTGTTTCTGGAAATCATCGTTGTGATTCGCTTTAGATAAAAAACGGAAATTTCGCATTATCAGGGGTTTAAATTGAAATAGCGGACGTGTTTCATTTTTTTACTATCGCTAATCGTAAAAGAAATTTTGGTAAAACTAAAAAAATACGATTTTCGACCAAAATTTCATCTTTTTGAAAGTTTTAGGTATTTTTCTAGTGCAAATATAGTTAATTTTACTAAAAACATTATAAAAATACTTGCTATTAATCTACTAGGCATTTCTAGATTAATACAAAAAATTTCTCCCCCCCCCCGTTAACGCGAAAGAACCTATTATTTATGCATTAATCTCCTCTTATTGTTAGATGGAAATCCAAATGAAGAGCCGAGACGAATGGATAAGAAGAAGAAGAAGAAGAATGAAAAGAGGCGAGGAGGACTGGGCAGCCGAGGTGGCCGTTCTGACAATTCCATCAGAATCACCGCCATTCCATGCCAATTCGGCCTTCTCTCCTCCGTCAAGAGTAGCTGTCGTACAACCACGCATCGAGCCCGTGCCCCAAATCGACACTGACCACAGCATCGACAAGCGCTTCGAAGAGACCATTGTAAGATATTTATGGCAATAATAAAATTCCCTTTTTTAGATGACAATGAAGCTGGGAGGAGCCAAGATCTCATCGGACATGGCCAGAACACGCGCTGCAATGAGGGAGACGAAATCTGACGTGGCTCGCATGCAAATCAATATGGCACTCCTGGTATGGGGCTTTGTGCTTGTTTTCTTGTCTTTTTTAAGGTGGAACGGACACACGTTTATCACTAATCTTACAATGATCATTACGATTTCAAACGTAAAGTTTGCATCAGAGCAAAAATTACAAAAAAGCCCGATAGTTTTCGATGCAAGAATTTTTCGACGAAAAATGCCCGTTTTCACGAAATTTCGACCATTTGAAAGTTTCTCCTAGTTAAAATATAGGTTTATTTTACTTAAACATTATACAAATTACTTCCTATCAATCTACTATAATAATTTTGTTGTGGTGTCTGTCTGTGTCATCTGTCCCAGATTCAACTCAGAAGGGGAAAGGAGCTAGAGCTAGGTCTCTTCGGATTCGGATAGAAAGCGCCGTCAGAAACCCCAAAACGATCAAAAAATTATGAAAAAATTTTTATTTAAAATATTAAAATTAACATGAAGTTTTTCCGTAAGTGAAAAGGGTGGGGACGGAGGTTGGGGGTGATTTTGGACATAGTGAGCCAGGCCGCGCGCGTTCCGGCGGGGGGAGGGAGTGCAGGGGTGGCGAGGTCCAGCTCTGCAGTGGCGAAGGCCGCTGGAAGCGGCTGGTTTACTAGGCTTTTTCAAATTCAACACAAAAATTTGCCCCAGTAATGCAAAAGACACCAATAAATGTAAAAAATTTCCGAGAGCAAGAGAGTGAGAGAGAGGCAGAGCGAGAGAGCAACAGAGCTCGAGGAACACGTTCCATTTCAGGAGAGCCTCTCGGAAACGCGGAATGCCGAAAATCGCCGTCTGAAGCAGGAGAACGACCAGGTAACCCACATTTTTATAGTTAATTTTAATTCCTTTTTCTAGCAAGCCGCCCAGCTTGAAGATGCTAATGGAAGAAGTGACGGCGCTGCGGGATCGAATCCGCAATGGCTGATGGTAAGGCCCACGCCGAGAATGACGCATGAAGAGAGCAAACACCTATTATCCCGATATTTCTAATGCAATTTGTTGAACTCATTTGTTATTTTGCACTTTGCTTGCAGTTTGCTTTTAAAACGTTGTTGAACCAAATAAATTGTTGTTTTCGAAAGCCGTTGCTCATCAGCGAATGTTCTGTGGTTGATCCGCTTGAATATCGAGGCTGAGAATTGACAGTTTTAACACCGGTTTTGGCCCTCTAATTGAAGTGTTCTATTCGCGCCGCCATTTTGTTGAATTTTGCTTTTTGAAATTGAAACGTTTTGACTTTTTTTACTGGTTTTTTCGCATTATCGGGGGGTAGATGTTTTGTATCCTACTATATATAAAAAAATAGTGTTTGTGTGTGTGTGTGTGTGCATTTGCATGCAACTTCCGTCAGGGTGTCCAGAGGATATCTCGAGAGGAGATGGGTTTGTGGAGGTATTTGATACGTCATTAGATGCGTAAGGAGCTGGAGATGACTGCACACATACCAGATTTTGTAAAATATGGTGTTTTCGACATTAAAATTAAGTTTTTCTTAAAAATTCCGACACCCACTTTGTTAGGATAAAATTAGCATACGCCGGAAGTCGCTGTAGCCTATATAAAGGCTCAAAGGGAGCGTTTTGATTTTTGTCATCGGAATTGGGGCACAATTATGCAAAACGAAGAACATCATAGGGTTAGACGGGGCCAGGGTTGAAAAGTCGCGAAGCGGCTTTTCAACCCTGGTTAATCTAAAAATGCCTAGGAGCTTAATAGGAAGTGGTTCATATTGTTTTTTGTGAAATAGAAAAACTATCTAAAGACTTTGAAAAACTTTTCAAAAATCGAAATTTTCGTAAAAACGGCGAATAAAACATAAAAAGCGCCCGGACATTAGAAATTATATAGAAGTTATTCTATTGAAATTCTAATTTCTCCTTCTGCCTTTACATAATGAAAAGGCTTGTCGTTGGCTGTATGAAGTGCTGCGAATTGATGCTTCTTGCTTTTCCAGGCATGACCCCGGTGACACCTGGAAAAGGCCGTGCCGTGAAGCGCCGCTGGCCTACTGACGACAATCCGACGGATTCGGAAGAGGGAGGACACCGTCAAACAAGGCCCGTTTGTAAGGTACGTAAGCACATCGATTTTATGTGGGCTATGGTGGTCTAAGGATGAGCGCCAGCAATGGAAACTTATCAGCGAAACCCTACTATTTGATCCTTTTTTCAGCAGTGCAGCAATGCAATCTTCAGCGGTGTCCCTTGCCATCTGGCTCAGCATTCGATGGAGCACCTGGCCTTGCAACCCTGGAAGTGTTCTGGTATTCGAATGTTTCGAATACGTCTATTTCCAGTTTGCACCTATACTATGACTCGACAAGGCAACCTGCAAAAGCATCTGAACGAGCGACATCAAGGAAACGGCCGAGTCATCGATAACCGGTACCTGCGCTGTTTGAATTTGAACGAAGAACTTTAGCACGGCCGAATACTACGATGAGCTCGAGGCGAAGACGAAAGCCAACTTTCCGGGTCAATCAAGTGCCATCGCTAAATACATTGGTGGACAAAAAGAGGCATTGGGATTTCAAGATGCGTCCGATGATGGTAAGAATGTTTTAATTCCTTCTTGACTGTCATTTTTTCAGAAGATGACAATCCGCAAGACGGTCGACAAATCTCCGTCTGCAAGGTAGGGGATGCATCATTTACTTTGGACTAATGTGGTTTATGGACCACGATTCGTTGGAAATTTAGCGGCGAGCCGTAGCCCATTTTTCAGCTACAAAAAGCTTTTTTTTGAGGAAACTGCGTCCTGGCCGCCGTCACCTAAATGATACATCAGTCGATGCAGAAAAATTTTGCGCATCTTTCGAGCCCAATTTTAGGTGGCGGCCGGCTTGCCGTTAATTCGAAACTCCGCAAAAGCTATGAATATGCGCTTTTACTAGGTTCTGATGATTTTCGGCTAGTCAAAAAGTTTCAACTAGAGTTGTTATCGACCCGGGTCGAAAAAAAAGTGTTCGACCACGTGTTTTTTTCGACCCGGGTCGAAAGCAAGTCAGTTCGAAATAAATCACCTAGATAAATTCCAAATACAATGCATTTTCCCTTTTCTGCCGTGTTTAGCTTGAACTTATCTTTTGCGGACCGTTCTTGCCTTTTCGCTTGCTTCCACCAGTTTGCCGCGGCGGTTGTTTGCCTTGGGTGCAACGGAAGGGGAGAGGGAATTAGGCTGGGGAAGATGGGCCGGCGTCCGTCGGGGTGACGGACCGCCGCGGTGCTACAATCGACGCTTTCCCTGGCGTAAGCGCCCCCAAAAACCCACTCTCGCGTTTGAAGAAACCACTTTACTGTCTATAACTTTTTAATTTAGCAATGTTTTGAAGTAAAAATTTCCTTAGACCAAGAACTTAGTGATACCCATCCATGGTATAAATTTGAGCCGGGTGCTAATGCTGTTAGGGGGGGCAGTCCGAAATTGGTAGTAAGGGGCTACGAGGCGCTCCGCTTAAGCTACTTGGCGTTAAGCTAAATCACAGACTTAAGTTAGCTTGAACTATGCTTAGCTTAGGCTCAGGCGTAAGCCGAAGCCTAAGCGAAGCTTGACTTGAGCTTCAAATTGACTTACGAGGTCAAAATGCGGTCATTTAAGGGTTAGCTTCGAGCTAAGCTTAGCTTGGCTAAAGCTAAGCTCAGGCTTCGTTTATATGAAGCTAAGCCTAGGCTCAGGCTTAGCTTAGCTTTTCCAGAGGCTTCAAGTTTGAAAAGCGGCATTTGGAGCGTCTTGTAGTCAAAATCCGGACTGCCCCCCCTAAGTGCATTAGCACCTTGAGCCGGATTGGATAGAAGGCGGGCAAGTTCTGAACCATACCGGGGTTTGGGGACACTGTTTTGGCTGAAAAAGCGGCGCATAGAAAGAAAAACACCTCTAGAAAGTTGAAAAGTACGTTGCTTTCCTTTAGCTAGGTTTTCTACAACATTTTCTAGCTATTATCACTATGAAATTGCTTTATTTCTAATGGAAAAAAGAAATGCCGGGTTGAAACTTTGCCTGGGTCGAAAGTTTCGATCCGGGTCGCAACTTCGACCCGAACCGAGTTTAGACCCGGGTCGATAACAACACTAGTTTCCACCAATTCTGTCAAGTAGACTTCGAGATAAATTGTCGACGTTGGCAACTGTGACGCCCCGTTTAACCAGGAGAACGCTGGTGTGAAGAAATCCCAAGTTACCGCGATTCCTCTAATTCGACTATGCTGTAGCAGATTGCATCAAAAATAGGGGTCGAAAAACTGACCCAAGCCTTATTCGGGTCTCTCGCAAACGGCCATTTAAGATCATTTTTTCAGGAATGCAAAAATTCGATTATGGCAGCTATTGCTCCGCTTCTGGCTCAGCATTCGGTGGCGCACCTCTCCTTCCGACCCTGGAATTGTTCTGGTATTTCTAATGCTCCGAATACACCTAGTTTCAGTTTGTACCTATGCTACGAAACTGAAAGGCAACCTACAAAAGCATCTGAACGAGCAACATCAAGGAAATGGCCGTGTCATCGATAATCGGTGTTTGCGCTGTTGGAATTTGAATGGAGAACTTTAGCTCTGCCGAATACTACGATGCGCTCGAGGCGAAGACGAAAGCCAACTTTCCTCATCGCGCAAAGGCTATCACCAAGTACATTGGAGGACAAAAGGAGGCATTGGGATTTCAAGATGCGTCCGATAATGGTACGAATATTTTAATTCCTTCTCGACTGTCATTTTTTCAGATGGCAATCCGCGCGGTGGTCGAAAAATCTCCGTCTGCATGGTAGGGCATGCATAATTTTTTTGGACTAATGTGGTTTATGGGTCACGGTTCGTTGGAAGTGGTACTAGCGAGACTCTGGTATTGAATACTATTTTTTTCAGGAATGCAAAAATTCGATTATCTCAACTAGGACTTGGCTTCTGGCTCAGCATTCGGTGGTGCACCTCTCCTTCCGACCCTGGAAGTGTTCTGGTATTTCCATTGTTCCGAATACACCTATTTCCAGTTTGCGCTTGTAATATGACTCGGAAAAGCGAGCTGCAGAGGCATCTACACGAGCAACATCAAGGAAACGGCCGGATCATCGACAATCGGTACGTGCTCGGATTGGCTTTGAGCATGAGTTTTAGCACTGCTGAGTACTACGATGCGCTCGAGGCGAAGACGAAAGCCAACTTTCCTGATCGCGCAAGGGCCATCGCCAAGCACATTGCAGGCCAAAAGCACGTCTCGGGAATTCAGGACCGATCCGATGAGGGTACGAATGCTTCTCTCGCTTTTTGACTGCGATTCTTTAGAAGATTCGACTCCAGAAGACAACCCACCAATTGTTCATCTCACAGCCCCCGGTGATAAAAGTCTCGACATTCCGCGAAAAGTGCAGAAAAGTCCAGAAGCTGCGTCGTCAAATGCTGGTATGTTCCTTTCTCAACAATGGCGCTTTTCCTTTTTTCTTAGGGCCCAATTTTTTCAATATAAAGAGCGGAAGTGTTTCTAGACTGTTTTCTGTTATTCCTAAATATTCCTAATAATTTTACAAATTTTTCAAAAAAAATACAAAAAATTTTCGACCAAAATGCCCATTTTTTATCCAAGATTTCGGTTTTCAAAACGAAAGAACCGAAAATCTTAATTAATCTCCCGATGTTCATATTTAGGTACGGTCAAACAAGAAGTGATGCCGGATGCTGTTCCACCACGATCCAAAGAGAAATCGACTCATCGAACGATGGCCGATACTCAACGCGAAGTTAAACAAGAGTCACTGGATGTCGAAAATTCTTCGTTTGGTTGGTTTTTGAGAATTTCATGATTATGTTAAATTTAGACTTTCATGTCGTAATCGAGGGAAGTGAGGCGGATGCTCATGCTGATGCTCATGCTCCAATCCGCCACCACAACGAGCAAAATGTCCGGAATGGTACTTCTAATAAGTATTTATTGAATTTCTGAGGTTTAGGTGACAAAGACCAATCATCCTCGCCTACCCTTCATCCAATCGATGTCAAACAAGAACTTCTAGGTACTGTTTGGAGAATCATTTTGTTTCTGGAAATCAACGTTATGATTCGTTTTAGATAGAAAAAGGTTCTTTCGCATTATCGGGGGGGGGGAGAAGTTTTTTGCTTAGAAAACTTTTGAAAATAAAAAATCGGAAGTTTTTATATACTGTTTTTACGGTCCCTAAGCGTTAAAACTTACTAAATTTTATTAAAAATACAAAAATTTCGATTTTTCCACCAAATTTCCGCTATTTGAGAATTTTCAATTTTTAGACAGTTTTTTCTAGTTAAAACATAGTTTTATTTTACTGAAAACATCATGAAAATACTTCCTGTTCGGTTAATCAGCATTTCTAGATTAATATACACGCAAATTGTTCCCCCGATAACGCGAAAGCACCTACTATTACCTCCTCTTAGATGGAAATCCAACCGAAGAGCCGAGACGAATCGATAAGAAGAAGAAGAAGAAGGTGAAAAGAGGCGAGGAGGACTGGGCAGCCGAGGTGGCCGTTCTGACAATTCCATCAGAATCACCGCCATTCCATGCCAATTCGGCCTTCTCTCCTCCGTCCAGAGTAGCTGTCGTACAACCACGCATCGAGCCCGTGCCCCAAATCGACACTGACCACAGCATCGACAAGCGCGTCGAAGAAACCATTGTAAGATATTTATGGCAATAATCCAATTCCCTTTTTTAGATGAAAACGAAGCTGGGAGGAGCCAAGATCTCCTCGGACATGGCGAGAATGCGGGCTGCGATGAGGGAGACGAAATCTGACGTGGCTCGCATGCAAATCAACATGGCACTCCTGGTATGCGGCTTTTGTAATTGTTTTCTTCTCTTTTTCTGGTGGAACGGAAACACGTTTATCACTAGTATATTGCCAAATTCTTCAAAACAGTATAAAATGGCTCTTTCGCATTATCGGGGAGGGGGCAAAAATTTTTTTGGGATCGAATTCTTCAAATATAAATAGTGCAAGTGCTTCTAGACACTTTTTTTGAACTGTTTTTTAATGCAAAGGATTTAGACTTTTTTGACCAAAAATTATTTTTTTGCCCAAAATCCGACTTTTCGAATGTTTTTCTTAGTTATAATCCAGTTTTATTTTACTAAAATATCGAGAGTGAGAGATGGAGAGCAACCAAGCTCGAGAAACACGTTCCATTTCAGGAGACCCTCTCGGAAACGCGGAATGCCGAAAATCGCCGTCTGAAGCAGCAGAACGACCAGGTAACCCACATTTTTATAGTTAATTTTAATTCCTTTTTCTAGCAAGCCGCCAAGCTGAAAATGCTGATGGAAGAAGTGACGGCGCTGAGGGAGCGCATGCGGAATGGCTGATGATAAGGCCCACGCCGAGAATGACGCACGAAAAGAGAAAACACCTATTATCTCGAGATTTCTAATGCGATTTGTTGAACTCATTTGTTATGTTACACTTTGCTTGCACTTTGCTTTTAAAACGTTGTTGAACCAAATAAATTGTTGTTTTCGAAAGCCGTTGCTCACATCAGCTCAGGATCTTTATCCGCTTTTTTTATATTACTCCAGAAATGCCTAGGAACTTAATAGAAAGGATTTTCATGGGGTTTTTAGTAGCATAGAAATATATTTTAACTATCAAAACTATTTGAAGCTTTTTATAGAGGCGAAATTTTGTTCAATGGTCGGCCATTTTTGTCCAAAAAATTTATTACATGTTTTTCATAAAATCCTCTACATAAAAACTCTCTAGAAACTTCAAATTTCTCAATAAGTCGACATTTTGCTTAAAAACGGTGATTTCTGGCCGAAAAATCGATCTTTTCTATATTTTTTAATAGAAATTTGTAAAGTTTTAACGTTTAGGAATAGCAAAAAAATAATTTTAGAAACATTTCTCTAGTTGGAGTTAAAAAATTGATTCCTTAGAAGGAATCCCCCCCCGATAATACAAAAGAACCAAAAAAAGATTGTAAGTGCGTGCGCCTCTTTTTATGTTTTTCTTGCCTTAAACCAAGCAGAATTCCTTTATTCTACACTACAAAGCCTAGCAGGAGTAGCAGCATTTGCAGGCGCTGCTCATCAGCATCCTCCGCAGCAGCCACAGCATCCGCATCCACCGCAGCCACAGCAACCGCACCCTCCGCAACCACAGCAGCCACATCCGCCACAGCCGCAGCATCCGCAACCACCACCGCATCCCCCGCAGCAACACGGGCAACAGCAGCAGGGGCAGCACGAGCACGGGGCACAGGTTGGGCACGTGCAGCTGGAAAATCGGGTTTTTCGATTTTCTTAAAGAATCTCGGTTCATTAGGATTCGCGTGGGGGCCAATTTTTTTCCTGGGAGTCCCGGTCGCCTAGTGACCAACTATAAAGTGTTTTTACATTGTTTTTAGTAAGTTTTATCTAACTAACTTAAACTAGAGCAACTTTCAAAAAAGTTATAAAAATGTTTGAAAAAGTCGAAAATTTGGCCATTTTGGCTCGAAAAAATGTTGTCCTAAAGTTTAGAAAAATGTAAGATTTTTAGCATAAAAACCATTTTGGAGGAAAATCCCCCAATAAGCCAAATCACCTTAGAATTAGACATTTTGAGGTAATCTAGGAGGAACCGGGTTCTTTTCAAATAGGGGGGAAACCGAACTTTTTCCCCCAAGCCTATATTTTTTATATAAATAGTGGAAGTGTTTCTAAATTGTTTATAGCTATTCCTAAACATAAAAACTTGACAACACTTAATTCAAAAATTTAATTTTAAGTCGAAAAATCATTTTTTCGGCCCAAAAACGACCAAATTTTGACTTTTTCAAGCGTTTTTCTAACTTTTTAAAAAGTTTTTCCGATTCAAATAGGCTTAAATTTTGCTAAAAACAATGTGAAAACACTTTATATTTGATTACTATCCCCTCCAGGGCCGACAAAAAAAAAGTTGGTTTCCCCCCGCCTATTTGAAAAGCACCGGGACCCGGTTTAGAATCTCGAGCTCCTCAAAGAATCCCTGCTCGCCTGCCTCATTTTTTAGATCCCACACTCACCAGCAACATCCGCAACAACCGCACCCGCAGCAGCCGCCTGAATTTCGACTACATAAATGACAGCAGGAAGCAGTTTTTCTGATTTAAGTAACGTTTTTGATTTTTTAAATGTTTTTTAGTCTTCTTAAATTATACTCACATTGTCGCTTCTCCCTATCGGCGTCCGTCTCCTCGCCATTGCAGCTGCTATCGACGGATGCTTCCCCATTTTCCGGCAGCAATGGAGCGGCTTCCTGGAGGAGTTATCGTAATAGTAAGCTTTTTATTGTGTTTTCGTAAAAGATAGCCATATTTAAACGGAAATTATCGAAAGATCTAAAAAAGTATTTCTAAATCGAGATTTTTATATTGTTTGTTGTGCTATTTATATTAGAGATTCTTTCGCATTATCGGGGACACAAAATTTGTATAACTACTACAATAGAATAGTAACTTAATAGGAAGTATTTTCATGATGTTTTTAGTAAAATAAGGTATATCTCTACTAGAAAACCCATCTAAAAGCTTTGAAAAATTTTCAAAAAGTCGCAATTTCGTCAAGAACGATAATTTTTGGTTAAAAAACGATATTTTTTGTATTTTCTCATAAAAATTTTTAAGCTTTTTACGTTTAGGTATCGTAGAAAAAAGCATTTTAGAAACATTTCCGCTACTTAGATTTAAAAAATTGGTTCCTAAGAAAAGAAATTTCTATTCTCCCCCCGCCCCCGATAATGTGTAAGCACCATGATCAAAATTTAGAACCTCGTCACCTACCCCTTCCACAAGCTCAAGGTGGTCGGCGCTCGTCTCGGGCAGCGCGTCGTGGTGCTGATTTCCCTCAAAGTTGCCGGGCAGCTCGGCGTTGCGCAGCACACCGGCATTCACGACAAGTAGAAGAGGGACGAGGGCCACCAACAGCTTGTTCATTTCCGGCGCGGTTTTCGGGGAGGGCGGGGGGAATTAATAATACTTTCCGGATGCGCTGCCCGGCTTTTATAGGCCCCAGCCCTGGGCATGTCGTGTATGTTCGCATAATTTGGGTAGACAAATAGGGGGCGCGTCACAATGGGGAGCTGTTTACGCACTAGAAAACAGTGAATAAACACACAAAAAAATGCATCCCTTTCAGATCGGCAATTCGAAAAAATGGTTCTGGTTCGTTAGCGGGGGGGGACCGTGTTTTTTCAAAAGCTTCTCTTATCTTCAATTACCGTATTTTTGTATATACAACCTTTAGACTTTTTTTTGCTGCTCTCAATAGAATTTCAATCCAATTTTTTTCGTCTATCCGGCGGGCCTGGAATTTTAATATAGTATTTTTATATGGTTTATAGCAAGTTTTACTCATATTTTAAGTAAAAAAAATTTAAAAAAGTTAGAAAAGGTTTGCAGGTGGAAAATATACATTTTGGGTCGGGGAAAAAAGCTATTTTTCTACCTAAAATTAGTTTTCAAGCAATTTGTAAAGTTTTTATGCTTAGGAGTTCATTATTTTATTCTTATTATTTTACAGTTACATTTTAAAACTGTCCAACCCCGCCCGCGTTTTTAAAGAAATCCCCGTCCGCGGAAAACACAAAAAAAATTGAAATTTTTAGTGTTAATAAATTTCAACCTCATAAAATTGGAATTACAAACGTTTATTTGCGGACCTTTTTTATAAAAAAGCACACACCATATCACAGCCAAAACGGGTGGGCGACTAAAGCCATACAGAAAAAGAAACTAAAAACACGCAAATGTCAGTAATTATTGTCTCACCGCGAATATATCGAATTTTTTTTAAGGCGCGATAATGGGCTGTCGGGGGCTACCAGTAGTAAATGAACGCGGGCACGACACAAAAAATACACTAAAACGCACTATGGCATGACACTAATGATAGCCGCTAATTTGGTGCTTTGGCATTAGCGGGGGGGGGGTTTGCAAGAATCAAATTTTGGTAATAAAAATAGAGGAATTGTTTCTAAAATGTTTTTACTCGTCCCAACTCCAAGAATTACAAAAATAGATTTTCAAGCAAATTTCGATTTTTCTAATTTTTTAGAGGGTTTCCCACTAAAATTTAATCAAATTTAAGAAAAACACAATTAAAACGCTTAAATTTCAATATTTTGTCAAGAGTTCAAGTTTTTAAATTATTTACCAAACATTTTTAGATACGGGGAAATGGATCCCCCCGATAATGCCGAAGCACCGCCAATTTAATTAAATTAAAAACCGGGCGCCAAAATATCGGATTCGAAACACGAACAATACAGCTAATCGAAGCTAATTCAAATTAAATGGGTTAAGCGGTGATGGCGGGCATCTTGTCGGCAGCAAACAGGTAGTACTCGTAGATGTAGATCTTGCTCAGATCCCACACAAAGCGGAAGCGGATGGCGAGACGGCGGAAGAAGGAGTGCGCCTCGTTCAGCGTCAACTCGTAGTGCGAGCGGATCACGAACTTTGACACCTGGAAAAGGAGGATATAGGGGATAGCAGCGAAAATTTAGGATTGAGAGAGGGGGCAGGCTAGTAGAGATCATTTGGGATGAGAGAGAGAGGGGGGAGGGGGCAGGCTAGCAGAGATCATTTGGGATGAGAGAGAGGGGGGGGGGCAGGCTAGCAGAGATCATTTGGGATGAGAGAGAGGGGGAGGGGGCAGGCTAGCAGAGATCATTTGGGATGAGAGAGAGAGGGGAGGGGCAGGCTAGCAGAGATCATTTGGGATGAGTGAGAGGGGGAGGGGGCAGGCTAGCAGAGATCATTTGGGATGAGAGAGAGGGGGAGGGGGCAGGCTAGCAGAGATCATTTGGGATGAGAGAGAGGGGGAGGGGGCAGGCTAGCAGAGATCATTTGGGATGAGAGAGAGAGGGAGGGGGCAGGCTAGCAGAGATCATTTGGGATGAGAGAGAGGGGGGGGGGCAGGCTAGCAGAGATCATTTGGGATGAGAGAGAGGGGGAGGGGCAGGCTAGCAGAGATCATTTGGGATGAGAGAGGGGGGGGGGGGCAGGCTAGCAGAGATCATTTGGGATGAGAGAGAGGGGAGGGGGGCAGGCTAGCAGAGATCATTTGGGATGAGAGAGAGGGGAGGGCAGGCTAGCAGAGATCATTTGGGATGAGAGAGAGGGGGGGCAGGCTAGCAGAGATCATTTGGGATGAGAGAGAGGGGGGGGGCAGGCTAGCAGAGATCATTTGGGATGAGAGAGAGAGAGCGGGGGGGGCAGGCTAGCAGAGATCATTGGGATGGAGAGAGAGGGGGAGGGCAGGCAGAGATCATTTGGGATGAGAGAGAGGGGAGGGGCAGGCTAAGAGATCATTTGGGAGGGAGGAGGGGGGGCAGGCTACAGAGATCATTTGGGATGAGAGGGGGAGGGGGGCAGGCTAGCAGAGATCATTTGGGATGAGAGAGAGGGGGAGGGGGCAGGCTAGCAGAGATCATTTGGGATGAGAGAGAGGGGGAGGGGGCAGGCTAGCAGAGATCATTTGGGATGAGAGAGAGGGGGGGGGGCAGGCTAGCAGAGATCATTTGGGATGAGAGAGAGAGAGCGGGAGGGGGCAGGCTAGCAGAGATCATTTGGGATGAGAGAGAGGGGGGGGGCAGGCTAGCAGAGATCATTTGGGATGAGAGAGAAGGGGGAGGGGGCAGGCTAGCAGAGATCATTTGGGATGAGAGAGAGGGGGAGGGGGCAGGCTAGCAGAGATAATTTTTCGCAGAAACCATGAAAATACCTCGATCAGCGAATCGGCACGATTGGCGGTGCCGAGCATGTACTCGAGGCTGCGCAACAAGTCGTTCGTCTTGAAGATGAGCAACATTTCGCGTGGAACTCGGGCGAGTACCTAAAATTAAAATTAACTGTTTATAACGCTTCCATACCTCGCTAATCTGCGGTATAAGCGTGACGGCGTAGTCGCGGAGTTCTTGACGCTAAAAACGAGAGCATCAGGTGAACAAAGACAAGATATACCTCTTGCTCGTCCTTTTTCGACTTGCGGATGCCCTGCGTCACGCTTTTCCACGACCGTTGCGTGACCATGCAGGCGAGCAGGCCGTACATCTCGCCGACGCCCAGCTCCTCGGCGACGCGCTGAAAAAGAGGCGTTTACAATAATTTTTAATTTTATTGATTTAATTCACTTAATTTAATAAAATATATTTTAATAGCAAAATAAAAATAAATTTTTAATTTTTTTTTTTATTTTTTTACACTTAAAAGTCAAAAATTTAACAATTTTTGATTATTTTTATATTTTTTTTTTTTTTTAAAAACTATGTAATGCTATAAAAATGTTTATATTTTTTATAGAGCTGTAGTTTGGAAAATTTTTTCCCCGCCCCCGGTCCAGAACCGATTAACCAACCCGAATCTGTTGCGTGTCGGCGTTGAGCAGCGCCATCCACAGATCCGAGTAGATGCGCCGGAAATGGTCGTCAACGTCCTAAAAAACACAATTTCCGCCCGCCGCCAAAATCACGCACCAAATAGAGGCCGTGGTCGAGGAGCACGATCTCGGCATTGCCATTCGGGAGTCGATTGATGAGGATGTTGCCCGGATGGGGATCGCAATGCACCCGCCCGTCCAGGAAGATCATTTGGCAAACGAGGCGACCCAATCGCCGGCAAACCTGAAAAAAATATTGATTTATGATTTTTAGCATCTTTAATGTAAAAAATCACCATTTTGCTAAATAAACACAAAATTCGACTTTTTCGACGATGATTTTTCCCCGTTTTTACAAATCGGAATTTTCAGCGTACTATTTCGAATAGTTTAGATCTCCACAAACAATATCCATTAGAGAATGTTTAAAAAAGCCTCGCCGCTTCGATGCTAGGTTTTTTTCGCATTATCGGGGGAGCGGGGGATAGCTTTTAACGCCGTTTTTAAGCATAGAAAGTTCGCAAAATAAATATAAAAATTTCCAACTTTTTGAATTTTGGGACAAACCAGGAAGAAAATGACCAATAAACACCAAAAATTTAAATTTTTAATGTTAAGACTTTTTATTGGTCGCAAATTTTAAAAATCCTAATAAAATACATTATAAAACGCCAAAAAAACTTGGCTAGATCTCCCCCGGCTTACAGAATTCTAAAAGCTGAATTAAAACGCACGAGATGCTTATCGATGCCCATCCGGTCGAGCCATTCGCGGTCGTCAATCTGGTGGCCCTCGCAGAATTCCATCGTCAACATTTGCTTCGTCGACAGATCGTAGTGGATTTTCGGGATCTGGAAAAAGTATTTGAAGCTAATGCTCTAAATTCATTTCAAGCTTCTTAAAAATAAAAAAATGTATTTTTAGAGCCTAGCCAAATCATCGAATCGTATTTTTCAAATATTCGGGTAAAATTTTACGTTTTTAACATTTCAAATACGAAAGAATCGCAAAATCTTCATCTCCCAAAGAAACTCTGCTAGCCTGCCCGCACTCACCTTCAAAAACTTGAGCTTTCGATACCGCTTCCTCGCCCCGTCCGCGTTTTTCGCCTCGTTCAAAAAGTCCATCTCCTAAAGGAAATCAATTAGACTTTAGGAAACGCGAAAAACCTTTGGCAAATTCTTCTTGACCTCCTTCACCAGCCATCGCAGCTTAAATTCGGGGATCAACACGCCGGCCACGTTGACGAGGAACTGAACGAATTTAAAAATAAAAATTATCAAATTAAAAACCCACCTCCATCGTGGCAATGTCGGTCTTCGCGTTTTTCTGCAGCCGCTTGTGCTGCACCTTGCACGCCACCAGCTCGCCGTTGTCCTTCCGCCGGGCGATGTGTACCTGAAAACATGGGATTTAGAGGAACGTTAAATTTTTTGTTGCAATGCGGTAAAAGTGCCAAAAAAAAGTTGGTAGCGGCGAACAAAGTCATCAAAATCGAATAAAAAATGCTTCCAATTCGGGAATATTGCACCATTTTTGCTGCATTTTCTTACGCGTTGCGCAAAATTGGTTGTTTTGGAGCTTAAAAATATTTGGGATTTTCTTTTTCTTGTGGACACGGGGCGTAAAACCACGATAAAAGAGTTCAATCGCCAAAATTTCAAAAATCTTTCAAAATCGCGAAAAGTCGAAAACTGACTGGGTTTTTTTCCTATATCTCGGTGCGAATGACGCTTTCGAATTTAAAAACCGAGCTTACAAGGACTTTTCCATTTAAAAATGCGTTTTATAGCGTGTAAACGGCCGCAAAAATGGAATTTTAAGCAACAAAAAGCAAAAATAAATGTTTTTCCGCTCCAGAATTGGGGCAAACTAGCACATAGCCTTTAGGAAAAATCGTAAGAGTCTATTCTTGAGAAACCTCAATACCTGCGCTAAACTGGCGGCGCCGATCGGCGACTCCGAGAACTCGGTGAAGTGGTCTTCCAACTAAAAGTAGAAATTTCAAAGAATAAACACAAAATCTCACCTTTCCGCCCAGCTCGCGCTCCACGACAAATCGCACGTCCCGGTAGGAAGATTTCGGGGCCTGGCTCAACAACACGGACAGGATCTTTGTGTATTCGACGGGCACCAGGTACTCCAGCGAAGCGATGTGCTGGCCAACCTAGAAAAAGAGATTTTTTCGGTTCTTTGGTATTATCGGGGGACTTTTGATTCAATTTTTCTAATATAAAAGAGAAAGTGTTTATAAACTGTTTTTACAATCTCTAAACGTAGAAACTTTACAAATTTTGCCTAAAAACGCCAAAAATTTTTCTCTTTTTTGAAATTTCCGATTTTCCGACCAAAGAATCGCCTAAAAAATTTCCTAAGCACTTTTTTAAAATTGTTTTCCACTTAAAATACGGTTAAATTTTACTAAGAACAAAATTAAAACACGTTATTACACAATTCTGGAGTCATAGAAAAAGTTGGTCCCCGATAACGCGAAAGAAGCGTTTTTTGAAAGATTTAGACCATTTTTCAAACCAGACAAATAATCGCGTATAAATCACCTTGATGAAGAGCCCGCCGTTGGCGCACGCCAGGTCGAGTAGTCGCTGCGCGCTCCGCGCGTGCACCTAAATTTCAGAAATAGTTTTTCGAGCCAAACCATCGCCTCACCGCTTTGATGCCCTGGATCCACTCGTCGTTGTACTCGGCGTGGCGGGCGAGGAAGATCTTGTAGTCGACGATGATGGCAGAGACCTAAATAAAAGACTTAACTTTCTATCCGATCGGCCCCAAATTTTTACCAGCATTGGGGACCCATAAAAAGTATGTGCAGCTGCATTTTCAAATCGCAATAATGTAAAATAAACGCGTTATCGCTGAAAACCTGATTTCTCGAGAGGCTGGCACGCGTTTTCGCAATTAGTATGCCGATTTTAAGTAATTCTACGAAACAGCGCCATTCTTGGGCCAGTTTTTAACCAGATTAATGACACAACGTGCTGAAAAGTCCCAATCTAAGCGACATTTTCGTTAATCAAAAATTCATGTAGAAAACATTGTCCCCGGCATTTTTGCTAGACAGTTCGAGGTCGAAATCCGCCAAAACCCCAGTGAAATCGGCAAATTCTAGCTTTTGTGGTATCGCTGGTAAAAAAATTGGTCCCGATCAGATAGAAAACGGCCAAATACCGCGGGGCGGTTTTTTTTATTTCCACACCCTGCAGTCAAACGTACATGTCTCGCCGCCCTTCCAAATCGAATGGCGCCGATCTGCTGCAAATCCTCGACGGTGTCCGCGGATCGGGCCACGCCCACCGCGCTCGCTATGCCCACGGTGCACCTAGAAAACGAAAATTATTAGATGACGCCGTAGCGCTGGGTTTCGCGCTGAAACTAAAATTTCTCGCGTAAAATTTACCCGGTGGCCACGCCGATTTTCCTACGTAACGTCCATTGGGCTGTTCGAGTGGCCGTCGTCGCTAGGCGCATCACTAAAATAAGAATTATAGCTTTTCGAAGGTTTCTAGATTGTGAGTACGAAGGGAGGGGGAAACACGCGACAAGAAGCTCGGACAACAACACCCCAGAAAGTGTTGAAAGAACGGCCGATTAGGTGAGGGAATGTGGCGGATTGTCGCGTAGGGACAGTTGAACGAGTGTGATGGAGCGCGAGGAAAAGCCTAAATCTCCCAAAAAAGCACCTGCGCGTTTTGGTGATACAATCGCACAATTTTCTATCAAAAATGGGTTCTTTCGCAGTATCGGGGGGCTGGGGGGATATTTTTAATGATCCAATTTGTCTAGAATAAAAAGTTTTTCTACTTAAAAAGATTTTTCGATCAAAATTTCAACTAAACATTACCGCTTTTTTGCTGGTTTTCCACTTTAAATCCAGTTCATGTTGTCTAAAATCAACAGAGCAGTGTTTTATTCCACCTTTGTACTATTTCTAAAGACGTAAAACTTTACAAAACCACAAAATTATAGATTTTTCATGCTATTTTTCCGCTTAAAATATAACTTCAATCTGTCTAAAAGACGATAAAAGTATTCGATATTAGGCTTTTCTGGGCTTGCAGGAAGCAATTCGACCCCCTCCCCCGATAATGCCAAAGTACCCAAAAATACGCGTTTCTGCCAGTTTTTAAAATTCGCAGATACCAAAACCAAACATATGCATCGACTTCAGTGTATTTTCCAACTAGCAACGCATCAACGACAAAACGTTTATTCTCCAAACAGTTCCAACAACAAATTAATCGTAAGTCAAAACAGCGCGATGCGAAATTCGTTTAAAGGGTGGAACTTTCGGGGTGCAATGGGGGGCCACAATAATCAAATGCTAGAACTGGGGGGAATTCGTGAGGGAAGGGCAAAATTAAGGCTTCTGAATTTGGATGGGGATCTTCTTGACGTTGCCGGTCAGACGCTCCTTCTCGTAGCGGACGGTGAGGTGGCCATCGCGCGACAGGTCGCTCTTCACCTGAAAAAGACAATTGAAGACCGAAACGGATTCTTTTGCATTATCGGGGGGACTTTTTTATGTTTAGAAATGTCTAATAACTTTATAACAAGCGTTTCAATAGCCTTTTTCGCAAAAAAATAACCAAATTTCAACTAGAAAAACTATCGAAAGTTTTGAAAAATTCGGAATTCTCGTCAAAAAAGGACATTGTTGGTCGAAAACTCGATATTTGAGATTTTTTTAATGAATTTTGTATAGTTTTTACGTTGAAAATAGAAATTTAAAGTTACCTCCTCCGGCTTGACGGTCGGGGGCAGCCGAAATTTGCGCGTGAACGAGCGCATGACCTGAAAAGAAGGATTTGAACAATCCGGAAACGCAGAAATACCTGGCCAAATTTGTCAGTCTTCTCGTCGTGCCTTGCCTCGATCACCAAATCGTTGTCGATGATGTTCACCTAAAAACAATGGTAATGCAAAAAAAAGGAAATGGTTCTTTCGCATTATCGGGGGGATATAGAAATGCCTAGTAACTTAATAGGAAGTATTTTCATCGTGTTTTCAGTAAAATAAAACTATATTTTGCCTAGATAACGTCTAAAAACTTTGAAACGGTTACAAAAAGTCGAAATTTGGTCAAAAAATCGTCATTTTTTGAATTTTTTTACATAAAAATTTGTAAAGTTTCAAGTTGAGGAATACTTAAAATCTCTAGGCTTTTTCTCAATTTATATTAGAAAAAAGTTGCCCCGATAATGCAAAAGAGCGCCAATGACAATACAAAAATTCAAAACGTACCTTCAGCTCCTCAGGCTCGAATTGCGAGACGTCAATGGTGAACTTGAACTCGACCTCGTTGTCGATCACCTAAAAGTCGCGGATTAGAAATAGGAACCGAAAAGCGTACATCGTTGAGACCCTCGCCGAGTCGATGGCCGCTGAACATGGAGGTGTCGGCCCAGTAGGGTCGCGTGCTGACCATGCGATCAAAGTCCTCGTCGAAGAAGTTGGACCTGGAAAGGGGAAGTTAAAAAGGGGGAGGGGACGCGGTGCCTAGCCGCTTGATTCGAGCGAGCTCGTACTCGAAGTCGAGGCGCGCATAGCTTTTTTGAGCATCAGCAACACCAATTTTGAGGTCTAAACGGCAGCCTGATGCTGTCCAATTCGAAATCAGCGCAAAAAACTGGTCTAGAATCTAGAACCCGGCAATATAAACCCCACGCGTGGTAGCCTAGTCGCAAAAGAACTGAACAGTTGTGCGAGCACAGCAACTTCATAATGCGCGCCGCTGCTCATGTTCGGACCGTTCGACTCGAGAGCGCGCGTCGCCAGAAAGCCCACGAAAAACATTACCTTCCCATCTGGGTGAGCGGCGAAAAGTGCGGGAAGCGGCGATTCATGGCTGACGATGAGGTCTGCTGCGAGGGGATGGTCGACGCCGACGACTTCGGGACGTTAACTTCGTGCGTGGGGGTGGTGGCCGAGGTGGTACCTGAAAATGGGGAATAAAAAAGCAGGAAAAGTGTTTAGTACGCAAGAATATGCTAACATTTCCTACGGAATACAAGCGTCTGGCCAATGGGGAATATTAAGCGCGTAGAAATCAATCAAAGGTGCTCGGGCAGCGCGAAAAGCTTCAGAAAACGTTGAAAACTCTTGTTTGCTATTCTTCGTGCCCTTTCTAAGGCCTAAAACTTTAATTCCTCAGTGAACTTTCGTTTAAATAACCGCCGCAAAAACCAGTCATATAAAAACTCGAGGAAACACCAAAAACAAAGCGAAAAGCCTAGAAAACTCGAGCAGTTAGCCTCCAAATTGTAACCCGTAAAATCAAGCGCCCTAAAGCTTTTATACGCCCATTTACGAAATGAATGATGACTAAGCGATTGACGAAAACTATTCGCGGGCGGGTGGGTGAAGCAGATGCAAAGCTATGGGAGAAAACGACTGTCCCGGCTGCCCCCTCCGGTTCCCCCCGGAATAAGTACCCGAGTTGAGCGGCGAGTTGCCCTGTTTGCCCTTGTCATTAACAGCTTTGCCGGTCGGTTAGCGTGGGCGAATTTCGCAGGGCCCCCAGAAGCACCCCCGGCGGTCAAACTCGACAAACAGAAGAATTCGCGTTCACCAAAAAAAAAAACCGGCACCCTGGAAAGATGAGGCGGATGGCACAAAAATTACCCTTGTTGGCAGCAAAATGGGTGTTACCTTGATTGACGATGCCGTCCTTCTCCTCGTAAAAGTGCCGGTAGGTGTGCTTGATTGGTCGCGACATTGCTGGAAAATGGCAATGAAAAAAGACAAGAAGAAAGAAAAAAGGAAAGAGAAAGTATAACAATAGGCGCTTTTTCGGTTTAGCGGAGGCCAACTTTTCGGCGATTTTACTAACGATTCCGGGGTGTTTTGAGGCGCTGAGCTCGAAAAACAGCATTGTACGGCTTGAAAATATGCACCTAATGGGCAAATAAATCGCATTACTATTCTGTTTCGCTATATTCGAAAACAACGCAAAGATTAGCTCAGAGACTAAAAAAAAATCGAAAGCCGAAGTCGCCAACGTGATTTTTTTGCCGTTCGCTTACAATTTTAACGTTGTTCCCCGGAAATGAAGCCTTAGGCTCTGGTATATTGTTATTCGAGCTCAGCGCACCAAATACCCTAGAATCGACGGAAAAACCGAGACGGAAAACGGTCGCTTAAAGTCGGCCGGCTAAACCGGAATTGCGCCCAACAGCCAACGAAAAGAAAAGAACAATAAAAACGGAAAGAAAACGAAAGTATCAACCTCGCAAAAAATTTTCGAGAGGCGAAATCTGAAAACCCGGCCAGGAAGAATTCGAGTAGTACGCGCAAATACGCTCCCTGAAATTACGGTACCCAGACGCCAAATGAAAAACGAAGCGCACGTTTTGCAAACGGAAAACGGAAAACGCCGCCGAAAAATGTGATTTTTTTTGTTTTCTTCCAAAATGATACAGCCACGTCTTTTGAAATCGTTTATCCGACCTAGCGAGCAGAAATAATGACCCGTACAAAACGACAATAAGGATTGAGACAACGAGTATATAGAGCGAAGGAAGCGGACCGGCATTGAGAAAGCTCAAATTTGACAAGGAATTGACAAGGAAATATACATAAAACAATTTTTGGGTGTTATTTCTTGACGCTGCGCGTTCGGGTGAGCCCCGAGCTGCGGAAGCCGAACGCCTGTATCTTCATCAGCGCGTCCTTTCGCTCGAGGGTCGGCGTGGAGGGCTGGGATTTGGTGGAAACCTGGAAGAAAGGTACTTTTACAGGAAAAGCTCGTACATTTACAGTGTGCCGGAGCTCTTTTTCGACTTCGGGGCTGACGGCCGGCTTATCGAATGTTTCTAAAAACACAAATACACCACAAAAAGCGCCGACAACCTGAAGACGGGGACAGTGGAGCGTGGCGATGCTTGACCCTTTTGAAGGGGTTGATCGTGATCCTAAAATAGCATTTGGCGTAATCAAATAGCGTCCGGTAATGAAGCATTCGTCGAAATAAACCTCGCGCAAAGCCATACTTTTCTCTGGCAATCATCGAAGAGCTGCTGACCACCGTCGTTGTTTCGACAATGACGTCATCTAAAAGTGGGTAGCGGAATAAATAATAAGTTCTCGCGCATTATCGGGGGTAACTTTTTACTCGATCTAATTTTGAAAATATAAGTCGTGAAAGCGTTTCTAAACGCGTTTTTGTATTCCTAAGCGTGAAAAATTAACAAAATCTTATAAAACATGTCTAAATCATGGATTTTTGACCAAAAGCGACTTTTTAAGTTTTTCGATGGTTTTTCGAGTTGAAATGTAGTTATTTTTCAACAAAAACCCTAGAGTTGTGCAAAAAATTCGGTTCGGTCCCCCCGATAATGGCAAAAAACCAAAAAAAATAAGTTTTACCATCCGAAGAATCGCCGAGCGTCTCGACCGAAGGCTCGCCGACATCGCCCCTTCCGTAAAATTGGGCAGCGCGCTTGCGATTTGCCAAAATGTTCGGAGACGCCGTGGGCTGGGAGAAGAAGGCGGCACCGGGTGATTGAGATGATGACGGGGAGCCCTGGAAATTCAGCGTTTTCAGATCGATTTAAAATACCGAATTGATCCTGGCCGGCTGCGAGTACATCCTCAGCATGTCCTGCACGCACCAATCGCCAGGCGGCTCGTTTTTGACGCGCCTGAAAGTGTTCCGATTTCAAGAACGCGTGAAAAGGGCTTACTGAGACACGCGCTTCGTGGCGACGCGGATCACCGACGTCGAGCAGCTTTCGCTGGAGGTGACGGAAACGTTGAGCGCGTGTTTGGAGGAGCCGGGCGTCTAAAGTAGGATCACGATGAACGTACAAAGTGTTTTTATATAGTTTTATCTAGAATTGAAGTACAAAAACTAAAAAAAAGTCGAAAATTTACATATTTTCGGTAAAAAAATCAGTTTTTCCAACCCAGAATAATTTTTTTTAGCAAAATTTGCAACGTCTTGATTCTCACGAATAGCTAAAAAAATCTACAAACGAATCTGCTAATAAAAAAAAAATTTAAAATTGGAAAACTGATTTACCGCGGGCTCGTGTACGGACTTCTCCAACGAAATGCCGTCGTCAAACAGCTGGGCTTGCGCTTGGTAGTCGGGCGACCAAATCGACCAGGCCGGGATCTAAATTGGTATAAACAAAGTTTTAGGCGATTAAAGGGCACTGGACTGTTAGCGGGGGGGTTCATTTCTATTTTATTTTTTCTTACTTTGAATTCGTAATCGTTTTCGCTTTCCAGAAAATCATAAAACATTTAAAAAATTGTCGATATGGTGAATTTGTTACGTTTTT